CCGTACAAGAAAATTCAAGATAAAGCCCTAAAAGTGTTGCATGGGCAGACGAACAAAGTCATCGAAATAAGAAAAGAGGAATTGAGGAGTGCCAACATTGACAAACTTAGCAGTGATGTCGATATAGGTAAGCTATGTATGTTTTCAGTCCAACCTTTAAGAAAAAAAAATCAACTAGAATTGGGTGGCACAAGGATAGACCATCAGTCATATTTATAATTCGTAGAAAATGAAATAAAGATTTCTCTTGTTATTTTATAGGAATGAAGAATAAGCACGCTTTCTTGGATCTACTACTGCTAGCAGAAGTTGATGGAAAAAAATTGGATGAAGAGCAGATTCGTGAAGAAGTTGATACTTTTATGTTTGAGGTGAGTTATTATATATAATATATTTATGTATAATAATATATTAATATAATAATACTTGTATAATAATTACTTTATTACTATAGTAATTATTTAACAATACTAGTAGTATTTACAGATTTAAGTTACAACGCAAAAACATTATAGTATGAGAAACTGGTTAGCGTGACACGCTATACAAATAAGCAAATCTGTTAATAGTGATGTTCGAAAATAAACTCTATGAAGTGCTATTTAAGGTGGCTTAAATTTTAAAGGAACGATTTATTGGGTACTATAGGCTATAAAATACATTATGCAGCTAACCTAAGATGGTTAAGACCTTGGCAAAGTAACTTTAAGATATAGTATTCAATTATGTTCTTATATATCTTATTATATACTGACGTCTTGACGACCATTAGTTAATTGTATGTATATATACTCAACAATCTAACAGATCTGAAATAAATATTTTTTACAATTTGAAATCATAACATTTCAAGTTATAGTGTATATAGAACAGAAACAATTTTGGGGCTTACAGAGATTTTGTTCTTCATAAGGTACCTACTATGAGTACAGAATTTAATGTAGAAACTCTTCAATTAGCGACGAAGCGTACTTATTGAAAAGCAAAAAACCTAGCTGGCCAATGTAGATAAAATTCAGCGGATTCAAGACCCTTAAAATGTTGTCGTGTGAGAGGAAATGATACGATAAATCAAAAAATTTCAGGGCCACGATACAACGGCGTCAGGCATAGTATTCTCAATGTTTTGTTTGTCAAAACATCCAGATGTACAAGAAAAGATACTTCAAGAGCAGAAGGAAATTCTTGGAGATGATCTAGCTAGAGATCCGGTTTACAGGTAACATCTACAAATACACACACACATAGTAAAAGATTGTATATTGTAATTATTTTATATCTATTTATTTACTAACTTAAATTTCATGAATGTAAGACGAATACCAAAGATCTGGTGTATTTTGGTCCTGTGCCTTCAAAGAATTTCCAATTTTACGAAATAACGATGTTTTTACCATTATACATTAATATGTACTACCTTAATAGGTAGAGCTAATTACATTTAACCTTTAAATATTATATGCAATTTTTTACAGCGATTTGAAAAAGATGAAATATCTGGGTCTAGTCATCAAAGAAGCACTCCGTATGTACCCAGCGGTTCCATTGATAGAAAGACTGATCACAAAGGACTGTGGTAAATAATTCATCTCTTTTGTATGATATCAGCTATCGTTAGACTGGATTTAACAAAAGGTGATAAAGAAATTGAATCATAAGTATGACATTTTAGATTTCCTGTTCGCATTCACGTTATGATTAGTTTCAATAGATTTTAAAAGGTTTAAGTAGTTTTAAATTTTCTTATGATACGAAAAATGCTACTTTTTAAAGCTAAAAGTTTAGTCAACCAATACCTATTCTCATGACTGAACATGATCTCCTTTATTTCATTTTCTATCTTACTTCTATTCTTATCACCAGAGTTGGCCGGTCTTCATGTAAAGAAGAATACATCAGTCATCATCGATATTTTCCACATGCAACGGCATCCAGACATCTTCGACGATCCAATGGAATTCCGACCTGAACGTTTCGATGCAAGTCCAACTGCTGCTGCTAATAATGCATTTTCGTGGCTTTCGTTTAGTGCTGGCCCAAGGAATTGTATAGGTAAAAATGTTTTTTTTTTATCTGATGTTCATACTTGAATAAGTTCTCATCAATAAGATGTATGTAGAAAAAACTGGCTGTTGTGTTTGTTGGTTCAAAACCATCTTAACGAGAGAGTATTGTCGTTTCAGGTCAAAAATTCGCCATAATGGAAATGAAGGTAACATTAGCAGCGATCGTGAAGAATTTCAAACTATTACCAGTTGAGATGGACCCTGGATTGTGCTCAGATCTGGTGTTGAGAGCTGAAAACGGAGTGAAGATAAGATTGGCTCCGAGGAATATTTGAAATAGCATCATTTGGCAATGGGGTATTGTAAATCATGAAGAATTATGAAGAACTGAATCAATAATGTAAAATAAGTATAAGATGCAAAGTATTCCATACTATTTATTAATCGTGCTTCGTTTGACTGTATAAATACGATAATAAAGAAAAACACGACTTGTGATAAATTGTGCAAGGCTTTTACCCGCGTTGCATTTTTTTTCCGGCTTTGGGGCGTGAGCGAGAAGAGGTTCTTGACGTTTCATAATTCTTCTAGCAATCGAGGAGCTTACAACGCCTGATGATACCGTCCACTCGCAATGGCGATACATCGAGGACCTCTTCTCGCTCAAGTCGGCCGAAACAGCCCGAAAAACAATGATATGCAACACCGGTTGTATTGAGCATCAAATTAGATACTTTGTTTTTAGTGGTTGAAGTCATAGGAACTGGTTAGAGGTAATCTGTTGTTTAATTGAAATGAATATGAAAAGTAAGTCTTACTACCACGAAGTTTAACTTATTATATATCGCATTCTGTACATGCTATAAAGTAATAAACTCCGTTTTTATTGAATTTACTTTACAGGTAGTTATAATTGCTTACAAACAAAGTTAAATACCATTTTCCATTGAGTGTGTTAGCATCATTTATGTGTCCGTATCACGGATTAATTTTATCGTTGGTCACATTTCTGTGCTTGCGACCGAACCTTCCCTGGAACAATGGAAACAAGCTTAAATATTTTGTCTCTAAAATGAAACGGTGTCAGAGAATTTTGTATTTAATTAGTTTGCAAGTTTAAGGACTAGCAGGAAATAATTAAGTAAACCCTTTTGCACTTAGTTTGTATGCGTTGTAAATTGTTGCTTATATTTTAGTTTTAAGGTTAAAAAAATATTTTTTTTTATTTTTATTAATAAGGTTCAAACAAAGTTATTTAAAATTACTGTAATAAAGTTTAATTGATATATGAATGCCACAAACATCATTTTATTTCTTAGTAAATACTGTTGACATAAATACTAAACAGAGTCTAATACATTTTAAGGATGTCACGAGAATTTAGATCAATATGAGAGATCAATATATGCGTTTAACAGCCTAAATGTTTTTTTACATAATCCCGTAATAATAATAATGTATATAAATAATAACCAAGCAGATTTAACATACGCACCTTGACTGTAGTTAAAAAACCCCCCATTGAGGGCGCACCTAGCGAAAAGGGGAGAAAGACTTGTTATTGGTTGAAAAACTGGTGCTTGACTCAATATGGATTCCGAATGTTGCCAACCGAACTATGATACGTTTTTGAGTTTCTTTTTAGTTGAAATTAAATAATTGAATTTCATGGAACAATTTCATTTCAGTATACAATTGAAATGTTGCAATCAATGTTATGTTTCTTACTATAAAAACAAAATAAGGTACCTAATATTACAAAAAAAATATATTAACAAAATATTTTTCCGTATAAATATAATCTATCTAAACTATCATAGAGTAATTGTAATCGTTAGTCTTAAGACTTAAATTTGTGTGTAGTTTAAATAAGTGAGCGATATAGAAGTGATACATATGGCACAGTTGCCACTTACAAATATTGCACGGCTCTTTCGCGGTTTTCAGAATCATATTATTATTTTTATTATGTTTTTATTTTTAAATTTTTTGAATAATTTAACACGGTACGTAACGTAGTTATATCTACTGCCCTACAGTTTTAGAACTGCACAGTTTGAATAACTTTAGAAGCTATTTAAAATAATTTGTGTAATGCTTAATAAGTTTTTATTCTAGGTTAATTCTATTCACCGTCATAGTTCAATACATTACACAATCTTTGGCATCTTTCGCTGAAGATAAAAAAATCTGAATCTCAAAATTGTCTTAAATCAACCGTCACAATTGTCACAATTATATAAAACTAATCTCTTGTTTATCTACTATTCTAGTTATAACGTAAGTACAAGCTGAGAATTTGCAACAATATAATGAGATTGTAAATGCTCTTTTTATTACAATTAATATTAATTACTTCAAAGGAATGTTTAAACGAAGAGCTCGGATTTTTTTTAAGTGATATGTGCATATAATAGTCAATGTTTCATTTATTTAAAAAATGTATATAATCAAAGTCGGGCTAGTGTAGTACGACACAACCTTGATTTGGTCTTGGGTCTTGGGAAGATCCGGGATCTTGGCGTTTGGTTTTTAGCTAAGGAAATGTTGCCCCTAAATTGCTAGAACTTAACTTATACCGAAACGTACTAATTCAACATCTAATCATAACTTATATATTTTCATTCTTTAATTTTGTGACGTTAATAAGTGTACCTAATTACCTATAAGATTAAATAATTTGTGACTTTGACTTTGATTTTAAATATTTGATACTTTCTATAAATCCATAGTGTTTCAATATGTAAGTAACTTTAGATCACGAATGCCAAGTTACATGGCTATTTATAATGATACTTGAATTTTGTATTCGAAATAAAATATGTTAAATTATTTAAATTTTGTATTCGAATTACCGCATTACGCGGGTAACCTGTGATTCCGTCAACATTAAGAATCAGTCTTCGGCGGGAAATGTCGTGAGGTGGTGGTTTATAGTGTTGATAAAGTTTTAAAACGGCAATTGAAATTGACCGTTGAAAATAAAACCAGAAAATGATTACAATAATCATTTTGAGCGTGCTTGTGTTAATCTGTTTACTATCATGGATCCACTTAGTCAAAGATTCAAACAAGTACAATATCCCGGGACCAGCGGTTCTTCCTCTTGTGGGAAACGGAATTGATTTTCTGGTTAGAAGATCACGTGAGTGTGAAAATTTACTTATTACTTTTCATTTCATTTATTTTTTGCGGCGTTTGAATATTGCACGTAAGGTATCAAATTTATCCGAGTTATTTATTATATTTATTAATACAAAATACATTATTCAAAATAATAACTATTATTTTATATACTTATAAATTGGTATTAAAAATTTAGTAAATTTAAAAAATAATAAAAGAAACTAATACACATTGCTTTCATTACTTTTTACTAGCTGCAACAGCGACTTAGAATAGTTTTTTTGGGGCTTTAAAAATTTGTTTATGCCAACCTCATCTCAATCAATATAGCTGTTACCTACCACGTCGCATCGTCTGCGTCCTGTTTTTCTTGGACGTCAATTTTTAAAAGGTAGAGATATAGAGTAACGGACATTTAAAAATCTAAAATAACGGACATTTTTTTAGATCATTTCATACATATATTTTAAATATCTTGAACCGTTTGTACAGTGCACGCAACGGAACCCCTAAAAATGAATAATTTTCCCGTTTCTTCGCTCTTATTGGTCGCATAGTCATATCTTATAGCCTAAGGCCTTTCTCGAAAACTGCTCTAACATACTCAAAAATAACCACTTTTCTTTCGAACCAGTAGTGCCTGAGATTAGCTCATTTTGACTCCCGGTTCGAGGACGACTAAATCTTGTAAGGTCGTATTCTGAACAAGTCTCGTGCCAAGGTTGTCGACTTATCACACTGTAGTTTATATTGAAGTAGTTTTATCTAATAATAAATAACAGCATGTTCGTTCCAATGTTTTTATATTAAGCTGAAGAGTTTGTTTGTTGGTTTGAACGCGCTAGTCTCTAGAACTACTGATTCGAATTGAAAAAAATATTTTGTGGTGGTTAGAGCATTCTTCAAGGAAAGCTAGGCTAGGCTACAAAACATCGCAGTGAAATAATTGAATCGAATCATGCTTCGATGAACATGTGGAAAAACAATATTGATGTCCAAAATAACTATTCTATGTGGATGAAGTCGCCGACAGAGCTGGTTCTGCTTGGTTGGAAGTCGTTTTAATGTTGAACATGCATTATCTAGTTTTATATTGTTTTAGAATTTCTTCCTCTCCTCGCTAAATTTCAGAAGAACTTCGGAGATGCTGTTCGGGTTTATCTGTTTCATAGCCCATACGTGCTTTTATATCATCCTAAATACATAGAGGTAAGTTACGGCAAACATCTTAAAGTTCCATAAATTTTATTTTTACTTAATTCATGACATTAAGACTACAAATAATTAATAAACCATTAAAAATACTTTAACTCGGGTAAACTGAATACAATATTTATAATATCTTTTTAAAATACGATTAAGTAATATAACAGTGCCTTGTTTGTAATAATTGTGCTATATTTCTATTATTTTAATATTTCAGCCTCTTATGATAGATAATGACCTCATAACCAAAGGAAAATCGTACACTTTTCTACTAGATTGGTTGGGTTTAGGACTTCTTACATCCACTGGTAAGGCGTGAAAAATATTTAGATTTACGACGGCGAATGCTACTTTTAGCGCCTTCCTCTATTAAGGGACAGAAGATTGATAAATCGATAAATACGCACAGAACTGTGTCTGTCTTATGCTCCTTACAGCAATACATTTAAAATAAATAGTTCTTTAACGGTACTATCCTGAGATGTTCTTAGTAACAAAAAAATAGACACTTACATTTTGATGTTAAAAAACGAAAATTCTCTTATAAATATTAATAATATTGTATGTAGCTTTTTCGTCAGAGCAGCATACCCTGATAACTTTATGCACAGTAGGGCATGTATTTCTGTTTAATTAAAACTCTTTAACGGTTTCAAAACGCGATTTAAATTATGTTAGACTTGTTTGAAAACCTTTTTAACTAGGGCCGGACGTTTCGGATGCTTTCAAGCAGCCGTGGTCCCCGTGACCCGTGAGCTTAAATAATATACATTGCGTTTTAAACTGTTAAAGTTTTTAATTTAAATGTGTGCTACTCGCGTAAACTACAGACAGTATAATATTCTGTTATTTTAACGTGTGTTTACTGTTTTAGGCTACAAATGGCGGTCGCACAGAAAGTTTTTGACCCCTGCCTTCCATTTTAACATTCTGCAAAACTTCTTGCCGGTGTTCATCAAGAATGAGAAGGTATTAATAAGGAAACTTAGAACGAGCTATTGCAATGATAAATCGTTTGACCTCTTCCCTATCATTGCACTTACGGCTCTTGATAATATTACGGGTAAGTGTTTTTTGTTGCAACAGAAGCCACAAGTCAAGCAACAACTAACTTAGCGTATATTTTTTTTTCGTACAATTTTTTGATGAACTTTTTTATGTTCCCACCGCAAGCGCACAAATGCCACAACACATACAAAAACATTTTCTGTGTTCATTCTAGTCATAGAATATAATTAAAATTGCACACCGCGATTCACTTTTTTTGTATAAAAAAGCCTCGCACACATTGACACGTTTTAATGGCCGTTGTGCACATTGTTACACGAAGGAATTCGGTGTGTTGCTCAACTTATTTTTATTTTGAAACGAAGAGTTGCACCGACCGATGAATTATTGTTTACTAGACGTGCCCGCGACTTCGTTCGCGTGGAATAGAGACTTGGGGTAGAATTTTTAATTATTTAGGCTGTTTATTAATTTATGTAAGGACGTATTTATCGCAGCCAGTCTATGTTGTAAGTGCTACTTTGCCGCAACACACTCAACTCACATCACTCCTACTCTAACTTCCACTCTCACTCTTACTCCCACTCCCACCCCCACCCCCACTCCCAACCCCACTCCCAACCCAACTCCTATTCTCAAATAGCCAAAGAAGAGAGTTTCAATGTTCTATCTTTAAAAACCACGAATTTCCATACAAACTTTCACCCCCCTTTTAACCCCTTACAACCCCCTTTTCGCAATAAAAAGTCTAGTAGCCGTGGTCACGGGGAGATGGCTGCTGGAAAGCATCCGAAACGTCGGGCCGAAGTTAAAAATCATTTTCAAATAAGTTTAACTAATATATCGCGTTTTAAACCGTTAAAGTGTTTTATTTAAATGTGTACTACTCGCGTAAACTATAGACAGTATTTAAAATACATGTTTACAAAAACATAATAAATTCAATAAATAGACAGACATGAGATTGAAGTAATGACGGTTGTGTTCTTGAACTCTATAGATAACAAAAAAGGAAGATTTAAGCATTAATTTACTAATAAATTAAATGTATGTTCAAAGTATCTTAGTTTATTCTTCTTTGTTATGTATTTCAAGTCGTTGTCAATCTTAATTGATATGTATTTTTACTTTTTTACACTAATGGTGCATAATAACTTAAGTTCAAACGGTTTATAATGAGAATTATATTGTGATACATCAGATCGAAGATAAAAAAAATACTCTAAGGTTTCAATGTAACACTTTAACGGTTTAAAATGCGATATATATTAGTTATTTGAATTTGTTTCTACTTTTAAATCGGTAATCTGTTTTATTTAAATGTGTACTTGCGTGAACTACAGACAGTAATATTCTTACGTTTTAAGCCGTTCAATGTGTTTTATTTAATTCGCATTTTTCATGATTTTCAGAGTCAATAATGGGAGTGTGTATTAATGCACAGGAGAACAGTAATTCAAAATATGTCCAAAGTATTGAGGAGTAAGTGTCTTTCTTGTTATAAGTTGTGACTTACCTTCTTAAATTCTTGATGAGTAATTTGTCTTCTAAAGTATCTAAAGACATTACATTTTCACTTTACAATATATACTACTGAATTTAATTCGTAGTTTTTTTATTTAATAAAATTATAAAAAAAATATGATTGATGGCTGATTAAGTAATAAACGCTGTGAGTACTAAATACCTTTTGCGTTGTGGGTCATGTTATTATTTAAATATTAATAATAAATCTTGTTCTGTGACCTTGGGCAATCATTATCTGCTAACAATACATTAAATAACCTGTTTCTGATTCGAGATATTGAATGTTGTACCGTACCAAATTTGGTGTATTATATTGTTACAACATTATTTCCTTCTCTTAATCTTCAAACTTAAACCACGTATAGTAGGAATTTATTCTTTTCCTTTTTACGTCATTCATGTTCGAACAGACAAGCACGGGGTGTATATGATGGTAGAAGCAATATCCCAGCCATATGACATCTCAACAAGATGCCCTGTCTATCTATTTTTGCTTTGGGTATTCAAAAATCCACTTACGAAAACTGAAACGGTTATCTGTGTACGATGGTTTGTAACCCGGAAATTCGATATTCCTACCATCCATGTTATGTCCAGATTTACAGGCGAAGAAAAAGGGTGGGGCTTTATCCTACGGTCCTTTGATTATGACCCATTAATTGTAACCTTGTACCGACGAAATTTATTGTATGTAAAATTTATTATGTATGTATTCTGCCCAATTTAATCATCGTATATTTACAGCCTCAGTCAAATAGTAACTCTACGTATGCGAAATCCGTTTGTTGCTGAAGAAGCAATATTCAAACTGACGCCATACAAGAAAATTCAAGATAAAGCCTTAGAAGTGTTGCATGGGCAGACGAATAAAGTCATCGAAATAAGAAAAGAGGAATTGAGGAGTGCCAACATTGACAAACTTAGTAGTGATGTCGATATAGGTAAGCTATGTATGATTTTCAGTCCAACCTTTAAGAAAAAAAATCAACTAGAATTGGGTGGCACAAGGATAGACCATCAGTCATATTTATAATTCGTAGAAAATGAAATAAAGATTTCTCTTGTTATTTTATAGGAATGAAGAACAAGCACGCTTTCTTGGATTTACTGCTGCTAGCGGAAGTTGATGGAAAAAAATTGGATGAAGAGCAGATTCGTGAGGAGGTTAATACCTTTATGTTTGAGGTGAGTTGAACATGTTGAAAGGTAAAGGCGACGCGTGTTTTTTTGTGAAATTAACTTGTCTATAAAAAACACTTCATTGTAATTCAAGTAAATAGTGTAATTTAATAAAAAAATATAATTGAATACAGAATAAATGCCAACGCAAAAAAAGTACAGTAGATATGTTAAACGCTATAGACTATCAAAGAAGAATTACATTTAACAGAATAGTGATGTTAAAAAAAATAGAAGATTCTAGTGGCTATAAAATTAATTATGCCGTTAACCAAAGACCTTGGCAATGTATAGACATCAAAGATATAGACACTGACTTATACATCTTAAATTAACATATCTTGATTTCCATGATTTAACTGTATCTATATCTGTGTTAAAAAATGAACATAATAAAATTTTTACTCATAGCTAATATACAGGTCTGAAACAATTATGAGGCCACGAAAGATCTTTTTAATACATTTTAACAGACTTAAGTGAAGAAAAACTTTAATAAGTGGCGAAGCAAAGTACCCAATAAAAACAAAAATCCTAACGAGAAAACGCTCGCAAAACGTATACCTTAAAGAGGCTGAACAAATTACAATATTAAATTTAATATTTCAGGGCCACGACACAACGGCATCGGGTATGGTATTCTCATTGTTTTGTATGTCAAAACATCCAGATGTACAAGAAAAGATACTTCAAGAACAGAAAGAAATACTTGGAGACGACCTAGCTAGGGAACCGACTTACAAGTTAGTAAAAGTAACATCGACAGACACATACAGTTTAAGATATTTTAATAATACATATATCATATCTATGAATTTAGTATAGTTTGATGAATATAAGACGTATGCCAACACTAGATTGTTCTGTGTTGGTATTATGGTACTATCGAAGATTCACTAATTTTACTATTGTTTTACCAGTGTATACACCGTGATATAGCTACATTAAAACCGTTAAATATTATGTTCAATATTTTGACAGTGATTTGAAAAAGATGAAGTATCTGGGCCTCGTCATCAAAGAAGCACTCCGTTTGTATCCAGCTGTTCCATTGATACAAAGGCTGATCACAAAGGACTGTGGTAAATAATTTATCTCTTCTATGATTTAGAAAATATCATAATATGGTATGCACACTTTACTAACTTTCGCCTATCGTTGGATTAAAGTTGATGTAAGAGACAAAAAAACAATTGAAGCATAACCTCTTTCAAACATGTATTCTTTTAAATTAAATGCTTTAACACTTGCAGCAGCCGTGGTCCCTTGTCTTTTTCAAACAAGTTTAACTAAAATATATCGCGTTTTAAACCGTTAAAGTGTTTTATTTAAATCTGTACTACTCGCGTAAACTACTTCACTACTCGCTAATATCGTGGGTAGTGTACTAGATCAATAAATATCAAAGAAAAGATTTAGTTTAAGTGATTGTTATTATGCTTATGATCCAAATTAAGCTATTGTTTAAATCTAAAGGTTTAGTCAGACAAAAATCTAAAAATTTAATAATTAATGTGTATTTCTATTCTATCACCAGAGCTCGCCGGACTTCGTGTGAAAAAGAACACATCAGTCATCGTTGATATTTTCCATATGCAACGGCACCCTGATGTATTCGACAATCCTTTGGAATTTCGACCTGAGCGATTCGATACAAGCCCTACAGCAACTGCCAATAATGTATTTTCGTGGCTTTCGTTTAGTGCTGGCCCAAGGAATTGTATAGGTAAAAATGAGAAAAAAATTTCAAATACCCGTCTTTTACACTAGGATAAGTTCTCTTCAATAAGATTTATGTCGAAGAAACAGACTTTTGTTCTTCTTGGTTCCAAATCATCGTAACGAAAGAGTATTGTCTTTTCAGGTCAAAAATTCGCCATAATGGAAATGAAGGTAACATTGGCTGCAATCGTGAAGAATTTCAAACTATTACCAGTTGACACGGACCCTGGATTGTGCTCAGATCTGGTGTTGAGAGCTGAAAACGGAGTTAATATTAAATTGGCTCCGAGACATATCTGAAGTAGCATCAGGTAGTGGGATTTTGTAAAGCATGAAGAACTATAAATATCTAAAAATGACAAAACGCAAAGTATCTTTATACATAAGATATTCCCAAGTATTTATTAATCGCGTTTGGTTTGGCTGTATTAATAAAAAATACGCGTATAAAGAAAAAAAAATGATTGATTTTTAAACATACTTAGTCGTTGTTAGTGAGTGCAGTCCTACTAATTGGTTTGAGGTTATCTGTTAAGTGATTATATTAAAAAGTAAGACCACCACGAAGTTTAACTTGTTAAATTATTGCATTGTGAAAATTATAATGTTAGTTGCAATACGAACAGCCACCATGTCCTTCGAACCCCATTTCTCTCATACTTTACACAATTGCAAATCGTTTAACTATTGGGCTTCGTAAACGTCAGGCATTTAATAGCTTGAGAAAGTATATATTGTTTTCCCTAAAATGAACCGGTTTCAGGGGATTTCAAATTCAATTTAAGTATTTCGTTTGCAATTTAAGGAATAGCGATAAATAATTAATTAAACTCGTTTCGTACGTATTGTAAGTTGTTGCTTACATTTTAATTTTAAGGTTAAAATTATTGTTATTATATTTTATCAACACAGATTATTGAATAAATATAATAACAGATAAATACGAAGTTATTTAAAAATACTATAATAAAGTTTTACTTATATATTAAAACCACATGCATCTTTTTATTTATTTTTAAATAGTAAATACTGTACATGTAAGAACTATACAAATTGTAATACATTTTAAGGACATGTTACAAGATCAATACCGATAACATTTCGACTTTAATGGTAACATTAAATATAAAAGTAATGTGGAAGAACTAACAAATTCTTTATTAAATCCTGTTGCTCTATCTTATTTTATTGTCCTTTTGAAGAACAAATTGTAAAAAATATGATTATTAGTGGTCGTGTTTTTCAATGTAGCGCAAGAATGCTTCCAAGTACTTACATAATATATATACTTCCTTGTAAATAGTACCTGTTACTACATAGTCTTACATTGTTGTATTTTTTATTTATGTGTATTAAGTCTTTTACCACAAAACAGTCGTTTGCATTCACTTAAGCGTGAGAGGTCCGTAAATTGTTTTTTTAAATAATTAAGCTTTTTATAAGTATTATATTGTAGTAGAAAAATGATTCTTACTTTAAGTGTTATAGCGTTCTTTTTAACGCTTTTAACTTCGTGGATATTTTTATTAAAAGCTTATAAATCCTTCAATATACCTGGACCTATTCCGTTGCCTATTGTGGGGAATTGTCACTTATTTGCTGGAAGCCCTAGAAGTGAGTATTAATTCTAAATATTTGTTCCCCTTTCAGTCAAATTTACAGACTCTCCTTGCTTTTATTTAGAGAATTTTATTTTAAGATAATTTTTAAATAAAGCTAACTTGTGTAAATACTGTCTATAGTTTACGCGTACACATTTAAATAAAACTTTAACGGAGGGAAAAAAAAAAAAATTTAAATATTTTTTTTTAAAAATTTTTTTTTTTCCCCCCCCCCCCTTCGGGTTTTTTTGCGCCGGCCGGGGCCCCGGGGGGAAGTAAAAAATCATTTTCAAATAATTTTAACTAAAATTTCCCGTTTTAAACCGTTGAAGTGTTTTATTTAAATCTAACTTGTGTTTTCAAATGTGGCAGTATATAAATAAAAAATCGACTTTAGATTGAAATAAATTTACGACACAGGAGTTGAACCGGCATCAACAGCGTTCCGTGTTGTTGCTCTAACCAATTTTGCTACTGTGGCACGGTAATTTTTTTTCAATCTAAAGTCGCTTATAAAGCTAACTTTATATAATTTCTATAATATGAAAAAAATAATAATTTCTCATAAAAATGATATCAATATTGTATTTTTTTTTAAATAGAATTACTGCCTACACTAGACAAATTTCGACAAATCTACGGCGATGCAGTACAGTTTCGCCTGCTTCATGATCCCTATGTTTTGCTGTATCACCCAAAATATATAGTGGTAGGTTTTCATATAAAAAAATGGTACATACTATTTACATTTTTCTTTTGGGTTTTTGCCAACATTTCATAATACATCCTACAGTTGTAATATGCTTAAGTGAAACCTTCTTCAGCGGCGTCGTGTACTTTCTATAAGGCGGAAGAGAATGTAAACTTGTTACTGTTTGAGTGTCGTATTTTTTCAGCCATTGCTAGCACACAATCATCACATAAATAAAAGTAGTTCATATGATGTTCTTCACGATTGGTTGGGTTTTGGACTTATAACTTCTACGGGTAAGAAACGGTCACAATATTCAAATAAATTTAAAGGCAGGTGGACGACGACCTTTTTGAAGTACCCAAATAGGTTCAATTACATATTTTGTCTACTTTCCGCTTATACAATTTTAAATCTATGTTGACGGCTCGGGTTGGTCTAATGGAAGCAATTTATTGCTAACCAACGAGTAATGAGTCAATCCTCAGTGGGTCACAACAAAAACAATAACAAATGTATAATTTTTCTGAAACATGATACACTTCGTTTGGAAATTAAATGGTAGGATATTGAAATTCCAATTGTTTTACGAACCATCGCCGACAGATGATATAGGATAGAAGCTGAATCGCGTTTTGGTTTAAGTCTATTGATTTTCAAACATCCAAAGCTAAAATAGGACGATGGCGCATCTTGCTTATAGTTTATGTAACTGATTAATTATTACGTGAATCCCTTGGTTATTGTAAGGTAATATTATTTATAATTGTATTTTTTTTTTAATTTATCCAGGTGCTCATTGGCGTTCGCACAGAAAATTCTTAACACCAGCGTTTCAATCGAACATTTTACACAGTTTTATGCCTGTTTTCTTGAAGAATGCGAAAACACTACTTTCTAAACTACATACATTGGCCAATTTGAAACAGGGAGCGATAGATGTTCTTCCTCTCATATTACTAAATACTCTGGATAATGCAACTGGTATAAAAACATCTTTTCTATCTTATAAATAAAACAATATAATGGTTTAAAACGCGATATATATTCGTTAATTTTTTTGAATAATATTTTACGTTTTGGATCCTGTGCAGCTTTCAATTAAAATATAATTAAACACGAATAAATCTGTTACTATTAACTAATAACTGACATTTTGTAGTAAAGACTGTAAAACATTCAAAAAGTTAAAGATGATTTAATAAAAAAAATTTGATTGAAAACAGTACAGTTTCGCGTAATTTTATACTTTTATTTATAAGAAATTCAATAACAATGAAAAGGTAATAGTAGATCTTGTCTACTAGATCTCTTCAAAACAGCTCTTGTTTGAAAAATCAACGAACAACGGGTGAATAAAATTCTGTGTGCGATCTTAAAAACTAATTTTCTGTGTAAGTGTAAAGTGTCGAACATAGTCATAACTAATAACTTTTAGTCCTTGCTATTGTAATTAAATAATCTCACTTATTTTTAATGGCAGGTATAGAAGGTTATTATTGTATATTATCTACATACAATAATAACCTCGTGCTATTTCTTTAAATATATTCGACGACGGGCTCGTTGGTCTAGAATAGTAATGTGTGGTCGTGGGTCGATCCCCACAAGGTCCACCATGTGTTTCTAATTTTTCAAAATCTGAAACATGCCGGACTTCGTCTGTACGTGTTAGATGGGTGGTAGGAATATAGAAATTCCGTCCATTCCGAACCACAGGCCACAGATGAAAAGGCCGTGAAGCGTAATCGTCTTTCGGTTCCGATAGCGCATCTTGTTTAGATGCTATAGACTGGACTATATCACCTACCATCTATTGAGCACCAGGCCATGTCTGTCCCCCTCTATTATTAAAAAAAACACCGATCCGTCAGAATTAACTTCATAATGATATTAAAATATCGCGTGATCTTAACATTTATTCCATTGCAATCATTAAGACTCCAATGATTTTTTTAAAGCAAAGAAGTAATATAATAGCTATTGTAGTTATACAAACTCCTATACAGTGTTATTAACTATGTACATATAATTGTAGAATCTATAATGGGCGTACCTATCAATGCGCAGGAAAACAGCGATTCAAAATATGTTAAAGCTTTAGAGGAGTGAGTATGTTTCACCTAACTATAAACAACCATTTACTTAAATAATACAGTTAGTTCTCTTTACAGCAGGAATATCGACAATTATGTCATTATTGTGTATAATAATACAAACAGTAAACGTTATTCAAATATCTAAAAAATATTCTTCAAACTTGTAGCACACAAAATTTGTAAGCTGTTAATTGACAGGTTGAAGACTCAGTCTCTGCGACCAAAGTGTGTGTTGCCGGTGAGTCGCCATGTTGCATGGGCGAACACGTCCGCTGGCTGCCGGTTTATGCCGGCGACTAAACCAAGTGTGTAATAGCGTTTGTGGTATTTTTTTTAATTTAATACGCTAATCTTAACTTTTATACTTAGTAATATTTATTTTATGTTTATGTATGGCGTATGGTCATAAATAAATGTATATTTATATCTGTTTCAAACAAATTACAGTAGGCTTTTCAGCACGCGTTCGTTCTTTTCAAAAGTGTAAGATATGTTTCATTGTGTATAAATATATATTTCTGTAAGTAAGTTTAAATAATAAGTCATGATGGTATGTAAGAAAATTATATGAAAACCTTTTCGTCCTTATGTGTGTCGAAGTAATTAAGCTCCCAAGTTTCCATCACCGATTACACCTAGATTTGCTTATATTATAGAGTGACAAAAATAGTTGCCTGGAAAATGAGAAACCCAATCATCGCTGTTGATTTCGTATTTAAACTGACACCATATAAGAAAATATACGAGGAGGCGTTGAAAGTATTACACGCGCAATCGAGGGAAATTATTGAAATACGAAGAAAAGTGTTGAAAAACGATAATATCACACGTTTTCCCGAAAACGCTGAGTTTGGTAAGTAACTGAGTTTAAATAGTCACGTATCAAAACATTAATATTTTTTTCATGTTATTATCACATGAAGGAACTGTATAATTTAAAAATCGAAAATAAATTGAAAAAAATTTCGACTCGACTTACATTGCGCGAGAGGTGGATGTATCAATAGGTTGAAAAAATTCGACGATGAGGTGTAGGACTCGGTAGCTTAATTGGTAGAGCAACAGCACGGAACGCTGACGATGCCGGTTCAAGTTATAATTTTTTTTTAAATTGTAGTTGAAATAATATAAATAAAGAAAGGTTAAAAAATAATTATCACAAAGAATTGTTTTAGAGTGTATATGCAAGGGTATTAAAGTAACACCAGGGCCCCGATTCTACTATTACAGGGGACAGAGCAATATATATTAGTAGGGCTAATTGCTGTTTAATTTAAACAAAACGTTAATCCACTTGAAGGAAAGACTATAGAAATAGGTTTAGCCCTTGTGTTAACAGAATTTTAAATTGTACTATTTAACTGACTAGCGATAGACAGATACAGCCAGTATATATAGGCCAGTAAATAACAGAACCGGGATGGTAAATCATATCCCGAAAAAGCTTGTCACTTGTTGACGATAGGCAGCTTGCAAATTCAGGTATAATTTTTTTTACAGATGTAAGGAACAAACACGCTTTCCTAGACCAAATATTGCTGTCTGAAATTGATGGAGAAAAAATCGACGACGAAGGCGCTCGTCAAGAAGTGGATACGTTTATGTTTGCTGTAAGTATCATAAACGAATTGAAATATTAGAATAAAAAATGCAAATAATTAAATTACAAACTAGTGGTAAACTTTTAAATAAAACACTATAAACGTAAAACGCAATTTATTTTGTGGTCACTATTACTCTAGAGTCTAGAGCAGCAAAGTCGTAATTAAAAAAATAAAAATAAGATACTTATATATACAATTCGTGTTTTAAACCACAAGAGTGCTTATTTAAACACAGACGTAATTTAAATTGCAACCATGAACTATGAAGCAGGGTGTTATATTCTTAATGGAGTGGAAGAATGTTTTAACGATGACAATAAAATGAGGAGCAATTTTCTGCTATACTATGGTACCCTTATTATTATCCTTTATTATTGTAAATCTCCATCTTCAAGGTTGCCTGGAAGAAATCGCTTTTTATTGCGATAAAACCGCCTTTTCTCGCTACATTATGTATTTGGATTGGATTTTTATATTAAGTTTTATTTTGTAACATTGTGGGTGACAATAAAGTATTTTTTGTTTGTTTGTACACTTGTCAAAATATAAGGCATAAGGAAACATATCTCTATTCTACAAACTACTAAAAGAACCATGTTTTTAAATCTTCTTCATTAATAAATTAATTAATTAACAAAGGGCCACGATACTACAGCGGCAGCCATATCTTTCACACTGTACTGCATTTCAGAGTATGATAACATACAAGAAAAAATTTTGGAGGAACAAAAAAAGATCTTTGACAATGACCTGAACAAAAAACCGACTTATAGGTAAACAAAAACTTTGAATAATTTCGCTTAGTATACGACCTTGCTAAATTAAAGTAATTACTTACGACTTACTAATTATATACCTTAAATGATTTTGTATAAAAATTACAAAAAATTAAAAATCGATTATAAATTGATAAAATTTACGACTCGTGCGGAATTTGAACGGGCATCCACAGCATTCGGTGCTGGTCGAGTCGATTTTTATTTTTTATAGTGCCATTATGTGAAAAATATTTAAGTTTTTATTGCAACTATCTTATTGGCTGATATTAGAAATAGTTCGATTTAAAATTTAAATTACAATATTCTTTAAAAAAATAAGAGAGCCCTTACAAATATTTGTTTCTAGGGATTTAAAGCAAATGAAATATTTGGAGATGGTCATTAAAGAATCATTGCGACTCTTTCCGCCAGTGCCCATAATTGGAAGATTCATTACGGAAGACTGTGGTGAGTACAAATGAATTTGTAATTATGAAAAGCCAACAAACCTCGCGTTGTTAAAGACAATAAGTATTTGAAAAAAATTAAACATTAGACTTTAGAGACTTTTTCACTCGCAAAAATATCTTAAGAATACATCGTGTAAATATTTAATTTTAATCTTTTCGTTGTATTTTTATTTGAAGGTTGATGCAATAACAGTTCTTAGATCAGTCTTAAAATATACTTTTTAGACCTAGGCGATATTCATGTAAAGAAGAATACGTCAGTTAATATTAATATATTCCACATGCATAGACACCCGGAGTTGCATGAAAACCCAAACAAATTTTGCCCCGAAAGGTTTGATATGAGTTCTGCTCCGTCTCAAAATACATTTTCATCGATCCCGTTTAGCGCTGGACCAAGAAATTGTATAGGTAATAGTTTTTGCGAGTAACTATATAAAACATTACTTTATTATACTTTACAAACAAAAAAATTTTAAGTGAAATTTATCGAATCTATGCTTATTTTATAGGTCAAAAGTTTGCAATGATGGAGATCAAAATAACTGTAGCTGAAATCGTTAAAAACTTTAAACTATTGCCCGCAAATATTCAGCCTGTGTTGTGTGCTGATTTAGTGCTGAAATCTGACAACGGCGTCCATGTTCATTTGACGTCAAGACACTGCTAACTACCTTCATGAAACATTAGGAAATACATTTCTTCAAAAAATAAATATACTAACGATACTATATCAAGTTGTTATTTTTTTGGTGGTTGTTGATCTTTACAGTGCAAGAACTAGAGTTAATAAACTATGACGGCTTCTGAAACATTTTAAGTGTGCATTATTCTATTTAGTAAATAGTATAGCATTTCTGCAAAAAAATCGGAAGGTTTGGAGGAGACTGTGGCAGTTGCATAAATAATGCGTAAGGTAAACAATCATTCGGTCTTCTATCGGTGTCACCAATAGAAAATAATAAATAGTACATATCTTTCCTTACTAGATACTCATATTGAGACAATTAAAACATGAAATAATAAATTAATGAAAGCAAATATTTTTTTTTAACAAATTTAAAAATCTAAAATTATTCAAGACTAGGACGAATATTGACAGTTTGATTACCGACTAAAAGACTCGTATCCATGGGTCATAAAATAAATAAAAATGAGAGCTTGACAATTGACATTTGAAACATCAACTCCAATGACACCGACTTGTTTATACTTTATAGAACTATTTTTGTTATTAGTTGTTACATGTAACGATTCCCTTTAATTTAGCTTACAATAACAAGTTAATACCAAAAGTTTACTGAAATCTTGCAAAGCACCAAGCTAAACATTGTGTGTGTGATTTCTAATTAGTAACAATGGCAATGGACGCATTATCCAGCGCCCGGCGTAAACTAAACGAGGTTTTGGGTGATAAATCTACTAAATATTATAATCATATGAAGCAATGGTTCCGTATGAAGCTTACAAAGGAAGAGTTCGATATGGAAGCTCGATCGATGTTGTCCTCAGAACAAATTCATTACCACAACGATTTTCTCCTCGCTTTGTTGAACAAGGTGGAAGGCTTGGCAGAAACTTCAATAACTATTGCCCAGGAGAAAGCCAGCTCACATAATAGAAATAGTAGACGGCATAAACGTACGTCACGGATATCTGAAAAGTCTAATTTCGAGCCTGCAGACCTTTTGGACTATTTGCCGCCTAACTCACCTCCAGGGGCTGGTAGCGATGGGGTTAAATATGCAGCACAGGTAAATTGGTTGCAATTTAATCTTGTTTTTCTTGATTAGACGTGAGATGTACACTAAAACCATATTATGTTTATACTTCCTAGAGTGTGTGTCTATAAGTAATTATAATATTGTTAATCTTTCAGGAAATCTTTCTCCCTGACCATGCTTTGGTTGTTGGGAGGTTTATGCTAGCAGCCTGGGAACTAGGGCTAGAAGGTGCCGATGATGAAGCAGCAGATCTCATGGTAGTGGCAGTACAAAACTTTCTTAAAAATGTAATTAGTGCAGTCATATCCCAGCGGAAGGGATACAAATTGAGAAACAAGCACTTCATGTATGATATTGGTGCAGATATGCCTAACATGTGGCTAAGAAGTGTGAATAAACTCTATGACCCTCAAAGCGAGGGTAGGGTAAATGTAGATGAGGGAACGGATGGGTTAGGTCCAAGGTGCCCACCAACTATTGATGAAGTGGAACATTCTGCTGCCTATGAGATTGCGTGCAGGTGAGATTACAATAATGCTAGTTTAAAAGTATTTTTAATTGTTTGTAATTTTTTAAGTAAGTGTAACAAGAAATGAATTATTTAATATTATTATATTGCCTATTCATATTAAATGTTTAGACCCAAATATATAAGGCTATTGTTTAATCCAAAGTTATATCAAAGTGTAATCCTACAAATGTTGAATACGTCTACACACTTAGAATCAAAAATTCATTTTGAGGGGACTTCACCTTTAGTTCAATGCTTAAATGCATTGCCTCTATCATTGTGCAATATACTCAAAATTAAATACTTTGTAACACATTTTAATGTATTGAATTTTGAAAATATTCCTCAGACTTATATTACTATATGAAGTTAATTTCATCATTGTATAATTGTGACTTTACAATTTCAGTGCACCAAATGCTGAAGCAAATGATGAGAAACTAACAATAGATGAATTTTACAACACGCTATTAGTTCATAAAAATGTGATAGCATGTCATTCTGTGTATGCTGTTAACATGGAGAGATTAGCTGGAATGCTCAATCATCCAAGCTATTAAAAAAGAATTTATGAAAGAGAAATGAGTATTAAAACAAACAAAAAAGGGAAACAGAAGAGTAATTTCCCATTTAAGGATACATGGATGTCATGTTGACTTACTTTAGGGCAAAAGTTTTTTGTTTTGGTAAGTGTTAAAGGACAATTAAATAAGGTTATGTGTAATTTATAAGATATTTTGTAAATAATCGCTATATGTATATTAAATAAAACATACACTTATTTTTCATTTTTATTCATGTTATTTGTAGTAACATTTGAATATTATAATTACTTATCATTATAACATTTATATATATTTAACAGACTAGTTTACACTACTATTAATATAATGACATAGTTTCTTATAACTAAAATTATTTACAACAGCAATGGTATGAATATAGTTCAAGGTAAAGTATACAAAAGTCAAAATGGTAGGTCAAATAGAATAAAGAATATTTCTTTTATTTATAAAAGAGAGATTTAATTTCAGTTAATAGAAGAATTTTGAAAGTCAAGTAAAAATTATATATTTAGCAAATGTATTAAAAATTATTAAGTATCGAGGACTTTGTATTGTACAATATATACAGACAAAGCTATAGACTGAATTTCCAAAGGCATTTTGATAAATCATCGGAAGGAACCTAATTTCTTTACTTCAAAAAAGATCATATTATTCACCATAGACTCTGGTTTAAATAATATTATAAAGTAGATGTTTTATTGAATGTATTGTACCTAGAATAGTAAAGGCTACATTGGTCAGCTTCAACTTGCGCTTTGCTTTGTTATGAAAGACATCATGTACTATTTTATTTTTGTTCCTCGCACCATTTTGTTTCTCCTTTAATCTGAATGTGTACTTGACATTAATGGGGACTCTGCGCCACCAGCTGAAGATGGCGATTGCACCACCACCGAAGGAATCTGCCTGGGTGGTTGCACTTCTTCCATTTCTACAATTTCGGGTTGCGGTGCTGCGCCTAATAGAACACGTTTCTTCCACGCCAGGTAACCAAGGAGACTTAGAGTGACTGCTATAATTATGACGCCGAATGATACAGCCGTTGTAGATGCCGTGGACATTGTGTACATGCCTGGAATTGAGTAATTCTCATATGTATCAAAATTGCTCTAACAAAAATACAATATTCGCGTTACAGCAACCAGTATTTTTGTCTCCGACACTAATAAAAAAAAATTTGCGGTTTTTAGCCAGCGAATTAAAACATTAAAAACATTCGATTTTAATAAAACAATGGTTAAATCACGATGACGTTTCGGATGCTTTGCTGCAACCATGGTCATGGGGGGGGGGACTTGAGATGGAGGGTGTCCCTAATGTCAAAATCAATTGAACTACGCTAGCGCTATATCTTTCTCTTCGGGTCAGTGTAAAACTACTAATGGCGTTTGTACGTTTAATAATAAAAATAAGTAACATATTTCCTGTATTAAACCGTTTAGAGATATTTATCTAATGTTTATTATTGTACAAACGAACGTCAATAAAATAAATAATAAATAGACTACATAACATGTACATATCGACTAAAGAATAATTTAACTTTCTAATCGTCGAACATGATCACATGGTATTTACGATAGTTAGGTATTTTGTTTTATTTAATAAAAATTTCACGTTTTAATAATATAATGTGATAGGATAAAAAAATAATATAATGTAAATTATATATATTATAAAACGATACCTACATGGCGATAACAGTGGCGGCGAGTTTCTTGCCAGTTCTCGTTCATTCTACGCCCTTGATTTGAGAACTGGTTGTAAATTGAAATTTAGACTTTACTTTTAAACTAGAGTGACGTTCATAAGGGTACCATACCTACATTAATGAATGATTTTGACTTAATTCACTTTTGTTATTTTTTTTTACGTTTAGTTTTAAACATACCGTCAACATCAAGTAGGATAGTGTCAATGTGTTCGTTGCCATCTCCTAAGCCGGCGCCACATGTCCACAGACCCAGGTCTTCAGGTTTCACCTTATGTATTGTCACACAACAGTCTCCTCTATCCAGGCTTCTATTATTCGGATAGTAGTATTTCTTCAATATTGGACTGAAAGATTGAAGATATGTTTGAAGTTAAAATGCGAGTGAGATTCATAAGAACTTGTGTCCTTGACAATAAATCAAAAATATTTATGAAAAGTTGAGGCCCTAGGTTGGCAAGAACAGACACGTATAGGGTTCGCTTGATAGTAGCTGAAACAACCCAGCCATATAACATCAAAACAACAATGGCCAATTGTAGTAGTTTGGACATTCGGAAATCTAACCGGACTTAAAGCGAAACACGATTTAACTTCATGGCTTTTCGTCGGATGGAACTTCGATATTCCTACCACCAATTTAACTAAAATCCAGACGAAGTCATGACATCAATATGTTTCAGAAAAACTATTAAATGATTGCAAACATGTGGGCCTCGGTGGGGATCGAATCCACGACCTGTTGACTATTAGCCATACTTTATAACCATTGGATCAACATCCAATCGATTCATCGAATTTTATCGATATTCAGGACTGACCAGATTCACGATCCATGAGCAATAAAAAAAATCATCCAGCCAGTTTGTTGACAGCCCGCTTACTATATGGTGCCTTAGCTAAGAATAAAAATCACTTACTTCTCTGCTGTCACGGACGAATCTATACTAAACGATTTGCCGCTCGGAGGCTCAAAACGGCAATAGCTCAACGGTACATAGCCTGCAGTGGTTGCGCACGAGAGCGTCGCTGATTTTCCTATCTCCGTACTGACATTCGGATGAACCGCGGCCAGCTGGTTCACGACGCGCACCTGTATCTTCTTGATACTCTCCAAACGAGCTGCCTTACTTCCTATATGACACTTCCACTCGCCATTGTCAGACTTCTTTGCTTTAATTTCGTGGACACATTGACCGTCGTGTACGCTTAACTCTGTGAAACTAAAAATTAAAAATCGATTTTTTAGACCTCTGGTATTGGAGGACTTGCGGCATTCACAGCGTTCTGTGCGGCAGCTCCAATTGAGCTACCGTGTCTTACTCGTCACCGTCGAATTTTTCATCCTATACATCTTTTGCTAAATATTTCTCGAGTCATAAATTTGATTCAATGTAAAACCATGTGCAAGATCAAAATAACACGTGAAAAATATTAATGTTCTCTGTGATACTAATTCGCGGTAGCACTTATGGATTTTATCTTGTCCTACTGTAAAATTGTACGCGAGATGGCCCTATAGAGAGTAAATACTGAAGTATTAAGTTCAAAGAAAAATAATCACTGAATTGATACAGTAATGTAAATGACTATGACTAAACTTAGGGAGTATCTTTATTTTTTTTTAACAATAGAGATACCCCAGCTATATAACATCCTAACAAGATGCTCTGTCGGCTTATTTTGGCTTTGGATCGTGACCCGGACAGAATTTTCGATATCCCATTTAATATTCAGATTTTATTAAATATTAGTACAACCATTTTAATTTAAAAATCGAAAATAAATTTTATAGTGCCTTCATGTGCAATAACGTGTAAAAAAATAATCAAGTTTTCAAAACCATTTTGTACTACTTTATAAGTGGTAACTACTTTACTCATGCGCATAATAAAATTACATATATTATTCACTTAAAAATTAAATACTTCTCTACTTACGAAAAACGCTTTCCGGAAGGACTCACAAAACCACAGTAAATCATAGGAAAATTTGACTTGCACTGAATTTTAATCTTTTCGTTTTCAAACGCAAGTATAGTCTCTTTGCCATCCTCAACAATAGTTCTATACGCTGAAAATTATATAAATATAACACTATGCATTTTCTAATTACTTAAAACAAAACATTAACTTCAAAGATACCTTTGACAAGGCCGACTAATGTAGTCACGAATACAAAAACATATTTCACTTCCATCGTACTTTCTTGATTCGTTCCTTAATACTAACACTCGTGAAATTGACTATGTACCCTCAAACCTATAAATAATAGATAATAATATGGCTACATGCATATCGGAGCATTATCTATATGTCAACGGGTTAATTGTATAGTCAAAGATCCCATTATCTACCCTCAAAACTATTACAAAGTATGTAATTATTTGCGAAAAATAATCATTAAAATTTAATACTTAAGCCGTGTTAGTCTTTAAGCTTTAATTTTTGCTTTATAAATAAGTCATAATGGAACACTTAAACGGTTTTAACTTGTTTGAAAAATATTGTAACTACGACACGACGTTTCGGATGCTTTGCAGCTTTGCTCTTCTCTGTTTTCAAACAAGTTTTAAACCGTTAAAGTGTTTTATTTAAATGTGTACTACTCGCGTAAACTAAGTCAATATTAACAAAAAACTATAGAATATAAACATTTCATGAAAGCTTTCATCGGGTGAGTATAAAATTACATACATAAAAATAGATAAACATAGTTGTGAACAGTTGGTAACCAGGCTACTACCTTCATAACTGTCGGAATAACAAAAACGTACTAGCTTAATTTGTTCTAATGATTTCTTTATTATTATTTTTTTGCCTTGTTTGTCTTAATGAACAACACTTGCTTGGGTGATTGGAGGTTAGGAATCGTTTAGGTATGTTTTAGGATCCACAAAAAAATATGCATATACACATACTGTTTATTCCTCATTCACACTGTCACATTAACTATGTATACAATACTATTTCCTCCTGTTCCTATTTATTTTGCTTCTAATAATCTTCTCCTGTTTATCGTTAGTCAGCTCTTGTTGCAATTTTTTTAACATTTGCGGCGTTATCAAACCCTGAAACAAATAAAATTAAAATAAGGCATGTTGTAATAATTTTTAGTTAATTTTTAGTTTTTTTTAATGTCAATTAAAGATAACATTTTAAATATGCTAATGTATGCTACATGTTGAAAATATAAAGCAGCTAAAAATAAAGAAAGTTATTAAAGATATTTCTGTGTTTTTCCATGAGTAAAGGCCAATATTAAAAACTAAATAATTTTAATATTATATCAGCCGCGCGTCTTGAACATAAACATATATAAAACTTTAACAATTTGTTGACTACGGTCTATAAGTAAATGTTTGAATAGTAAAAACATTGTGCAGTAGTAGAGAAGTTGCTAATTTGGACTTTATAACCTGATTGTTACAAGTAAACGTTACGAATCAACAACTGGGTTTTCCAGCTGTTTAGCTGTTGGAATTGAAAACTATTTTATATATTTCAAGTTTTAGAGATGACAAACATGAACACAGCTTTATAATTAGTAATAATTTTGCAAGATAAAAGTAAAATAATTTTATGGGCAAGATAATTTAACGGACTGGCCTTAGCCTTAGATTAAAAGACGATATCGATTTGCAAGGCGGGTCGCTACTGGATTTACATCCAGCTTATATTAGTTGAATCTAATTCGAACCTCGATCAGCTTCTTTCAGTGAATAGAAATTTTTTCTTGGTATTTCAAGTCTATCTTCTATAAACGCAATTAATAATTGACGATAGAGAGATAGAGCTTTACAAAAAATTGTTAGAATAAGGTTTTTTATTCTATGTATTTTGAAAACTGTTTTAGAATTTACAAAGTTTGACATAAATCTATCTAGATACGGTAGGTAAATTGATTTCCTATCTATAAATTTAATTCCAAAAACCTCACCTTAGCTACGAGCATTTCAGACAGTTTTCCCTTCGCCTCGTCTCCAGGCCTGAAGTGTGGTCGTATCACTTTTCCACTCCTCTTCCCTTTTCCGATCTCTTCCAGCTCGGAGCCATCGCGTAGTACTTGTTCTGAGTTTCTTAATAGCCTGTTGATACGCGATAACTTTAATAAAATGGCACAAAACTTGTATCTGTAGTTACATATATATTTAAATTAAACAAATTTAAACGAGTTAAAACGCAATCTTTTAGCTAGTTCATTTAATTATCGTGTCTGTCCTGTGCTTTACAGCAGTACCCCTGCGGGCCCTGTAGCACACAAAACGTTAGAATAATTAAATAAATGTTTTTAATAATATTCTTTTTTTTTCGTTTTTTTATTTTATTTTATTCTATTTACCTAGTAATTTGGAAGATGCCTTGCTGTATAATAGCATCTAATTCTGTCTCTATTTCCCGGACTAGTTTAACATCGGGAAACATGTCTGGAAATCTATAGCTGTAACAAAAAAGGTGAAGCATTTATCTACGCTGTTCTAAAGCTAAATAAAATAGTTCACATCACTAATTTACTGACAGAAGTGGTTAAAATCTCCCAATCGAAGCGTTACACTCTCTTCCTCGAAAACTCTTGTTGGTCGAGAACAGACTTGTACCCAACATTGGGGCAATAAATAGAAAAAAAAATACTGGTTACACCTTGTGTTCTTTGCCTATAGTAAATGTATGTCTTAATATATTTTTATATAGTCTTACCTAAGCCATAAGTATAGTTCTAAAACATCAAATACAGCCTCCAAATGCACAAGATCCATAATGGTTTTGGGCGCAGGTAGAGGCCAATCGACCGCATTGCTCAACCAATTCTTAGTTAACGGCTCGTTACGACTGTATTGACGTACCATCTGGAGCATAAAATTAGTAATTGTTATTTTCGCTCTTATAACCTGTCAGTCACACAAATTATATCAAAGTGATAATTGCCACAAAAACGACAATATATTTTTTGATATTACAAACGGGACCAAAGTCACATAAATTTTATATTTTCAATCACTTAACATGTAACTCGTAGTAAAAAAGTAATCAAGTAAGGTAGACTTTTTGTGTCTTGCTTAAAAATAACTGTGTCCTATTCCGCAAAATTTGAAACCGTGTAAATTGAGATCTTCTTTTCCAAATTAGGTAAGCTCAACCTTAAGGAAGGTAGCACAAACAAAGGGCAGTTTGTTATTGATAGGCGCACAACAGAACACGTATCTAGCGCGGAGCGGCAGCGGCACATGTTGTATCATCTCCGCAAGGAACTTGAACGCTTCTGTGTTGCACATGAAGTATAGGGAATCGTCGACTGTACACAGGTGGACGAATATGTCCTGGAAACAAAACAATTAGTAACATATTTTAAATCTTATTATAAACGTAAATTTTTAAACTAGTAACATGCTTATATTATTTTGATATTCAATATGTAATTTTTCTAACTTTATAAAGCGAAGAAAATTGTTTATTTGTAAAACCCTAAACTCGGTAAAATAAATAAAATCTTCAGAAACTAAAACACCACACCGTGACCAATAGGAGCGCAAAAAACTTCGAGTCTGCCATTTTGTGCGCTGCGAAAACGGCTCAAGAAACCAAAAAAATAAATATAAAATACAAATAAAGACTAACAAAAAACATTTCTACTACTTCCATGGATGTATTCAAAATATCATTTCAAAACAGTTAAATTTAGATACAAAAGTGTAAAATGCTTTCAAAGAGTGAGAAGGCACAGACGAGATTCAAACCAAGAATAGACGTACATTTTTTGGAATTTTCCGCTAATCTTTATTCAAACGCTAGTCAAAACCTCACCATAAGACTACTCAAGCTGGCATGCGGTAGGTGATAAGCGTACAACTCCATCTGTTCGGCCGTGGGGTGTAGACCCGCCTGTGTAACCGGGTCAGGTGATTGGGATAGCAACGTTTTGAGAGTGGGTAAATCCTCCGCCTTGTACGTGGTTACGTACCCCGTCTCCCAAGCGCTGCCATATCGGCCTGCTCGACCTGATAAAACAATGGATCTACGTCACATAGAGAAGGCTTTTAATATATTTTTTGTCTAACTAGTAGGAATATACTGGATAGTGTAGAAGTTGCAATAATAGAGAGATTTAAACTTGGTTTGTGTGCAAAAGTCTAATTTATTATTTGCTTGTTAAACTAAGATTACTGGCCATGCTTGTTAGGAAGTAATAAAACGACTTTAATGAAAGAAATTTAAGTAAAACATTTTTAACGGTTTTAGTCATAAAAGTTCTTTTACTTCGTTCTTATCAAACATACAGAATATTGTATACACGTTGCCTGTAATAACATATGTATGTAAATTTTTAAAGAAGGGAAACCTTCTACTTCTAACTAAATAGGGTTTTAAATAAATCTCACCGGCGATTTGCAAAGCTTGGGATATACTAATTACGTCCATTTCTTTGTCTCCGTCATCTTTGACAACCGGTTTTATCAGGGAATAAAATATGATTCTTCTTATACTCCTGAAAAATATATTGCCAAATAAAATTGATGTGCTATATATATTATGTATTACAATTTATCCGGCTGCTTTTATACTATTAGGGCACAACACTAAAAGTTACGGTTAAGTTAGGTTATGTTAAGGTTGAAATTACACTGCGCCTTTTTAAATAGAAAAATTTCGACGATGATGAAGGAATCGGTAGCTCAAACGGTTAGAACAACAACACGGATAGCCTAGATGCCGGTTCAAGTCCTGCCCGAGTCGTTTTTCAATTTATTTTCTATTTTTATGTTTTATTAAAATAGTAAAAGTTGTATAAGTTTTGAAGATAAAGGATTAGTAAGAGTCAAGTTACTTACAAATTGATACCAAGGCCAATAGCATCTGTTGCCACCATGATCTTGCAAGAGCTATCCGGATCATTGAACTTATTGGCTTGAGCTAACTTAGTACCAGGCGGCAGACTTCCATATATCACAGCTACTTCATGACCTCTATAACAAATAGTTTAGTAAACAAGCAATACTACAAATGTAAATCTATACCAATATATAAAGCTAAAGAGTTTGTTTGTTTGAACGTGATAATTTCGGGAACTACTAGTTTGAATTGAAAAAAATGTTTTGAAAAAACACGCGTTGTGATCTATAGGAGCGAAGAAACACCAGGAAAATACGGGGAAAATGTATTATCTTTGTGTTCAAGATACCCAAAAAATATGTATGAAAGAATGATTCCTCTTTAAATGAACTAAAAAAAATGTCCGCGACACTATATGTCTACGTTTCAAGATTAACTTGCAAGAACGACGGGACCCTATCGACGTCGTGGGTAACAAGTATGATTTTTAAAGATGAGAAGGAGGTTTCCAAAAACTAATTTGGATAATTAAAATAACTATTATAAGCGGACGAAGTCGGTAACACAGCTAGTTGTAATATAATGACAGTATCAAATTAGTGCAATGAATATAGAAATTACGCTTCGGTCATATTTCGAATAAAATTATTTTATCGAATTTAAAACGCGAAATATACTGTTTAAGTAATATATATTTTTTATAAACGGCCCGACATTTCAAATGCTCTTTGTAACTAAACATTCTTAAAACCATATTCTTTTTATAGAAGTACATTTTTTTAAACCAGTCTCTAATCGCTAACGTTTTTTCTTTGTTTCGATCTAACTGTATACCATTACAACAAGCATCTTGATCTGTTGTTTATTTATTGCGTTACAAGGTAATTAATTATACAAGTATACAAAAGAAAACTAAAAATTCACTCAAACTATGAAAATGATACCTGCCTCAGGGAACTGACCTCTGTTCTATGGCTCGACTAACACTGTATATGTCGTTCTTATTAAAACACACAATACAATCGCCTGCCCGCACGTTATCGAGCGAGCCCAACGAAGAATCCTCCACCTTCAGTTCTGTTAGTCTTTTATAGGAACGTATCTGGAAACAAGAGAATACTGGTTAGGAAGATGCTCCTAACTGGTCTTGGTTTCTTTTAGAGTCAATATTTTTTTTTATTTAACTTCATAACTTACATATTGCTTCTTTAGAGTAATCAATACTGGTAAAGAAACCGCCTAGCGTATCGTTGCCCTACCCAATGACGTCCATAAAAACACTTTAAAATCCCCCTGCATCTATCCGGCCTGTCCACCAGCATGTCGTGCATATTACTGTATAAGTAGTTCAAGTATAGAGGTAACAAGTACCGCCTGGTATGTTTGCCATATAAATTGCTCGTATACTTGACTTGCTTTGTACAAACCTCCAGCAGACAGATATTAGATGGTTAAAGCAGATTTTTAACGTTTTATACCACATTTTGTATATATGAATGTATAATAAAACCTTGTTGCGGCCTGTACTAACTTACGCCTCCGAAAACTGGGCACTAAGCAAGAGAGACGAACGAGCTGAGTATATTCGGAATCTGCTCGAAGATTCGAACAGCAAGACAGATCGCAATGGCGGAAACAACTAGAGGAGGCTAGGGCCCACAAGGGGCTGTACAGCCACTGATGATGATGAATGTATAATAAATTAGAAAACTTGTATAATTATCCATGACTACTAATTTGATCTTTGAACATTGACATTTTTAACATTGTCACTCACACATAAACACACCAGCCACTTAACTGTGGAGATATAAAATGAATATTATTTAATTACCTCCATTTCTTCACCTGTAGTATTACAGATTTCTTCAACTAAATTTATCGCTCCAGCCTCACCACATAAATGTATTTCCTCTGCTTGTAAACCTATATAAATACAGAAATTCTAATCAGACAAAAATATTAGAATATCTAATTGTCCAGACAGTATTTTTTGTATAACAGAGAACAGACCAGCATTAACAAAAGTAATAGAATACATCTTACCTAAAACTGCTCTTGTCCAAGCCCAACCTCTTCCTCTATCCCCGATCATTTGAATTTCATCAATAATTGCTACTTCATCTAAAAATAAACATATGATTCAAATAACCTCACAAGTGACAAATGTGTTAAATCTAGAATAATACTGGTGTTTAATAATAAACCAAATTCTAAATTCATTTTTAATTTAAAGTCTATACTCCATTTTTGATCACTTATTTCCCACCTTAGCCTATAAAAGTTACACCAATAAAGAATAGCATTCTTATAAGTAAAATAAAAATATAATTAGAGCTCATATGAATCTTAATAATATTTTTAGAATTGAAAAGATACATCTAAACATAAATATTCTCTCTATTGTCCAAGACTAAAAATAGTTTTTGGCATTACAATATGTTTTGGCTCTTACAAGTATCATTCAGTGATGTCATTTCCACAGTACAAGCTACATGTTTTGAGGGCGTCAATTCTGGTTCATCTAACAACAGACTCTGTTCACTTGTTTTTTCTTCCTCATTGTCTAGCAGAGTATTGTACTGTGTTGCATGCCGTCTTTCTTCACCAGTTATTAAGTCACAAGGGGTACCCTTAAAAATAATAAGGACAATATAGTGCTGTTAAGATAAGGTGTAACACAACACTACTGTAGTTTACTCATGTAACCAGTAGTTGAAGGGTTTCAAAGTAAAGCAAAAAAAAGTAAGAATAGAACTTAAAGACTGTCTATAGTTTTCGCGAGTATACACATTTAAATAAAAACTTTAACGCGATAGCAGTGGTCACGCGGAGACCCCATGACCACAGCTGCTGCAAAGCATCCGAAACATCGGGCTGAAGTTAAAGTGTTTTATTTGAAAGAATAAAACTTATGAGGTTCGTAGATAATATGGAAAATTAAAAATGGCTTTGATTTAATAAAAAATAAATTATCTCTTACTCGCTTATTAGATTTGTGATATATTTCTGTGGCTAAAAGCTTAAGTGGTCCACAATAAACGCCAGATTTAGAAGTTAAATACTTTTCCATAGCATGGTAAGTTTTACCCGAATTTGTTGGTCCTGCATGGAATATTATCTTCCTGTTCATATTACGAGCTTGAGGATACCTTAAAAGCAAACATCATGATATTTAGATAAGTCAAGATTCTTAAATCATGTAAGAGTTATTCAATTGTAGATAAACAAAATAAATATAACTAGAAATTAATTTTTAATTACCAATTGGCTGGTGTTCTTAAGTCTGATATTTTCTTTAAATCTTCTAAACAGTCTAAATGTGGAAATGCAAGTCTAGCATGTCTAAGAAAATATGGAAAAAGGTCATCAACGTGACCTGCACCTGAAATCAAGTTAACAAGTTTTTATTGATGTCTATTTACTTCAATATTTGCAAAATACATGTTAGTTAACCTTACCAACAAGTATATCACTTATGGTTATGTGTAAATCTGGTGGTAAATCATGTTCTAAACAATGCCTCCTAAATGAAAGAAAGGCCTGATGTAGTAATTGGTCATCTATACCATTCTCTGATGCCAAAACCCTAACCTCAGCCTTTTGATAGAATTTATTCAAAATTTTCAGTAAGTCTTGTTTCTTTAACCTTCCAGTGAATTCCTCTCCTATATTTATATCATCAGGATTAGGTTTTACTGGCACAGGAACAAACAACGCTGACGGGCCACCCTTATCGTGCTTTTTAGTTCTTTTGGAAACATAACCTATACCACCAAGTTTTCCATTACGCGAGCATAAAACCCTACCAACAAACGGAGAAAAACATGGTTGTAATCTATCTGTACAATAAATAGTCCATATGCGTGAAAACCCTTTATACATTCTGATTAAAAGGAAATTTAAATAATAAAATCACTAAAATTTACAGAGCTCAATTTGACATATTGCTAAAATAAATACACTATTAACATTGATAATTGACATACATTGTCGAATTTTAAGTCAATGTCATTTAGAAAATTAATATATTGTATCCAACTGACAGATGACAATCAGATATGTCACCAAAATCTCATTTGACGTTTAGCAAACGTAAGTACACGACGTCGAGTTATTTCGGCTTAGCCCAATTTGAGAAGCTATTTCGTTTCACATGATAAAAATTGCCAATTACTCCGAAATAAAACATTATTTACCAGTGATCTTAACCTAAAACTACCTTCTGACAAGATGGGTAAAGCTAAAAAGGGCAAGAAGAACCAAACTGCTGAAGATGGGTCAGTACTCTATATTCACATATGTTTCAATAAAATATTGACTTATGTTGAATACTCTTTATATATTACTTTCAATTTACAGTGATAGTGATGTTGAAACTACAACTATTGAGAACGTAAAACCTGCTCAAACCAAGGGGAAGAAGTAAGTCTTTGAGGTTATATAGTTGGCTAATCTATTAGCATAAAACAATTTCTTGTAGATTATTTACCCATGTTATCATAGTTTTGTTATATGCATTGGACTGTTCAGAGCCATATTCATGTTTTTAAAAAAAGATTTCTAATAAGATAGGCATATTACACTTTTTTATGTAATTATAATACCATTTCATAGAGTTCTAAAGTTTTTATATGTTATCCAGGGCAGTAATAGCCTCTGATGACAGTGAAGATGAGAAACCAAAAGCTAAATCCAAGCAAAGGAAATCAATTGATTCTGATGTTAAAGAAGTCACAAAAAACATAAAGAATGTGTCCATATCTAATAAGTCACAAAAGAAGGTTGATGTTAGTAGTGATGGTATGTATTAATTATATCTATGAAATTGTATGAAATTCAGTTTTTTCTGTAGGACAAACACAATAATGTAGTAATTCTACTGACATACTTTATTAACTAGCAAATTTATTAGCAAGACTTGGGACCTTCTGTGCTTACCATAACACTGTGCAATATGAAGATAATATTTGCATCATTTGTGTTTTTAGTTTATAATTTAATTTAGTTAAATTATTTAACAAACTATATTAAAATTACCTAGCTAGCATAGCTTTTGAGATATAGTTTATTGCAGAAGGTCCTTGTAAACAATAGTTATAGTTTTTTGTCATTAGACAATACAAACATAATTTGATTATAGATTACTTTTGAAAGAGTGATATATAATTTTTACAGTATATATATACATATATAATCCTTAAATAACAACAATAATTCACTTCAAGGACAATAATGGTAATACTAGAAACTAGAATATCCTTAATAGATAGACAGAGTAATTGTGATTTTTTAAATCCTGTAGTACATTATTATTATACATTTTGTTTGTTAATATGATCGCGCTAATCACAGAAACTAGAGAATATAAGTTGCGACTAATATTAAGACCGTTGCGTGCGCTGCGATAACGGTTCAAGAAACCAATAATATGTATGATGGAATGGTTTGTCTTTAAATCATCAAGAAAATGCAACAGTCTTAAGATTTACTTAAAAGAATGAAAGTATACAGACAGCGTCATAGTCGACAAAGCCTGAATAACTATTCTACGTGGGCACAGTTGGTTATACATATAAACCTTTTCTTTATCATTATATCTACTTAAAAATAAGGTGTCAGAATATGTTGTTGTAGTTTTTAAGATTCAAGCATACTTGGGGATGGATATGGATTGGATTGACTATATATTATACTCCAAACTTAATATTAATTCTAAATGTAGATAAAGGTTACTACTATGTTACTATTTCAACATGTAAAATTGCAACTCCAATGAGAAAAATATTTTTTGTTGGTGGATATATTCTTTTTAGTAGCTGATTAAGTATAATTTATAAAATTTTAATTTTTTTAGAGGAATCTGAAGAGGAGGTCCATAATAAACCTAAGAAAAACAAGAAGAAAGAAGAAAAAAGTGCCTTCTCCTTATTGCAAGTTGAAGATTCAGGGGATTCGGCACCTGAAGCACCACCTTCGTCTGACGATGATAAACCGACACAAAAGCTTGTTAAGAAGCCAGCACAAGAAAAAAAAGAGCCAGCCGGTAAGAAAGGTAAAAAGGCCAGAAGAAAAAAGGATGATAGTGATGAAGACCTAGAAAAAGTTTTAGCTGAGCTCGAAATGGAATATGCTGGTGTTAAAAAAGAATCTGTTGCTGAACCAGAGCCCATAAAACCACAAGAAGAGTCTGAAGATAAACCTAAAACAAAGAAGAAAACCAAGAAAGAACCAGAACCTGAACCAGAAAACAACGCTGAAGATAAAGGTAGTGAAGGTGAAAATGATATTACAATAAAAACAGCTGCACAAAAGAAAAAGGAAAAGAAAGAAAGAGAGAAGTTGAAGAAACAAGAAGCCAAAAAGAAAGAGCAAGATGTGAAAAAAGAACCTGTGGAATCTAAACCTCAACCTAAACCAGAAAAGGTGGAGGTTAAAGAAGAAGTCAAAGATGCTAAAGCACCTTCAGAAGAAAAAGAAGGGGAAGGAGATGCTCCTGTCGAAGGAAAGAAGAAAAAGAAAGGTGAGAAGGGAGACAAAGATGATAAGGCCAAAAAAGGCCCTACTAAAAAAACAATTGCTGCTATGCAAGAGGCCTTGAAAAAGGTAAAAGAAGAAGAAGAACGTTTGCAACGTGAAGAGGAAGAAAGAATAAAACAAGATGAAGAGAGAGAGCGTCAAAGACTGGAAGCCATTAGATTAGAAAAGGAAAGAAAGGATAGGAAGAAGCTAAAGGAAAAGGAGAGAAAAGAAAGACTAAAAGCCGAAGGTAAATTATTAACTCCCAAACAGAAAGCAGAAAAGGCCAGAGCTCAAGCTATGCTAGAATCTTTGAAGGCACAAGGTGTAGAAATCGGTTCAGAAAAGAAACCACCACGGCCTGGAACAAGAGTTAAGCCTGCTAAATTGAAAACTCAAGTCTCACAAGAGACGACGCCGTCTACTCCTGTAGAAGAGAAAAAAGTGGAAATTGAAATAAGTGATAAACAGGTAATTGATTTTCACAGATTTGTATGAATCTGAACATAGGAGTATATAAATTCGATAGTTTTTAGTCAAAGTATGAAATAGTTATTGTTCTAAAGTTATAATGAAGTTAAACACTAGATTATTTTACTGCCATCAATGCATTTTTTAGTTATAAAATTTATGTAAAAAAAAATTCATATTACATATCTACAACATACATTCTTCTACTCAACTCATTATTTTAATTATTTTGACGCCAATTACAGGACCCTCCAAAACCTGAGGAAAAAAAGGAATCTGACTCAGAATCCGTAAAGGATGCATGGGATGCTGAATCATCTGATGATGATGAATCGTCTAAGCCAGAAACCGCCGCCGTGCCTGAACCAAAGAAACCTGCACCTGTAGACGAAAAGTCTAAAGAGGTACTTTTTAAGGACATTTAAAGAGGCAACGGAAACCCTCAAAGATGAGAATATTTCCTCCTTTTTTTACATTTTGCACTGATTCTTGGCTCCGATTGGTCGCATCGTAATATTTTAAAGCCTCGATAAATGCTTTAACAAACACAAAAATAACTTTTCAATTCAAACCAGTAGTTCCTGAGATTAACGCGTTCAAACAAACAAACTCTTCAGCTTTATATATTATTCAAGATGTTGAACATCTCAAAGAGAGACCTAATTCGAAAATCTATATCAAAACAATGTAGTTGAATTTAAATAAATACTTTTTACTAAAGTATTTGTTATTATTTCTAAAAAAAAGCTAATTGTGGATATTAAATATGTACAGCAAGAAGAAGAGAGCTCAGAGGAAGAGGGTAGTTCTGATGAGGACTCAAGCTCCGAAGAGGACTCAGATGATGATCAAATGACAGACGCACAAAAGAAGAGAGAATTAGTTCTAAAGAGATTAGAGGTACTTAATTGACTAATGACTTGATTTTTATTTGACTTCATAATATATCGGTTTATAATTTAACGTCATCATACACCTCTTTATTTCTGTCGTCATTTCTAGAAACGTCGAGAAGACAATGAAAAGAACAAGGTCGATAATCCTCTACGTGCAGCTGTTGTCTGTGTACTGGGGCACGTAGATACGGGCAAGACAAAAATATTGGACAAGCTTAGACGGACTAATGTTCAAGACGGTGAAGCTGGGGGTATCACACAACAAATCGGAGCTACTAATGTACCCATTGAAAATATAAAGGAGCAGACTAAGCATGTGAAAGGGGTAAGTTTTCCTACATTCCTATTTTAAATTAAAAATGTATTAATGTTGAAAAAATTGACACTAGTGGGGCTTGAACCAGTATCCACAGCAAACCGTGCTACTACTCTATTGAGCTACCGTGTCTCCAAGTCATCATTTCTTGAAACTTGATTCTTGAACATGCATACTCTTGGTTCAATGATTTCCAGCTTTAGAAAAATTATTAGATAATATACATAATAAAAGAAATTTAAATAACAGTTATATTTTTGTCAATTTATTATTGTTACATGTTGTTTCCCATCACAGCATTGTATAAAAGTATTCTTCTCTTATAACAGGGAAAGTCACCAAATTAAATAACTATAACATTGAATAATATGTTTTCAGGTGAATGAAATAGCATTTAAATTACCCGGTCTCCTTATCATAGACACACCTGGCCACGAATCCTTCAGTAATTTGAGAAACAGAGGATCTTCCCTTTGTGATATAGCCATTCTTGTAAGTTCCTTTTATTCTTTTAAAGTTTGTGTTTATGTTGTGTGTATGTGTTTGTATAACACCATTCATATATACAAACTAGTAAGTATACAAATATAAAAGTGATCAACTCCTTTTTTGTATGTAGTGTAATCTTTTTAATTACAACACTAAAATATTACAGTGATAAAGTTAATATTGTGTCTTCCTAAACTGGAGTAAAGCTCTAGTCTGGCCACATGAGGACATTGTCTTTTACAAATTATTTTGATATACAATATAAGCATTTTTAGACACAAATTGTTCATGATCATTTTTAACTTCATTCACAATTACACAAACGAACAAATTACAAATATATAATAATATAATATATGCTAATATGTCCTATTTTTTTTAAACTAATATCATTTTATTTAGGTAGTAGATATTATGCACGGTCTGGAACCGCAAACAATCGAGTCAATAAATTTATTGAAACAAAAGAAAACACCGTTCATCGTCGCCTTGAACAAGATAGACAGGTTATACGACTGGCAGAGTGCTCAAAGGAAAGACGTGCGTGATATATTGAAGATGCAACAGCCTAATACTCAGTTGGAGTTTGAGAAACGATGCAAGGATGTGATACTGCAATTTGCAGAACAGGTAAATTGGGATACCAATACTTAAAGTATTGTATAGGGTGGGCCTAGTCAACTGACTTATAGACTTTTATTCCATCTAAAAAGCATAAGAAAAAAATGAAGAAAGAGAGAATTAGTCTTAGGTTATACATTTATGATTTGTATTTTGTTAAGACCTTGAATTTCGATCTTTTTCCCTCATCTATCTATAGTTCATCACTAGATATCTATTGTTTGAAATCAGCTATATTAATTGTGCTATTTTGCCAAGTTAGAAAAATACACTAATTTTGTATTAACAAGTTATAGACTTATCTTTTCTTTGCAGGGTTTGAACGCTGCGTTGTTCTACGACAACCCGGATCCTAGGACTTATGTCTCGCTAGTTCCAACTTCTGCTGTCACTGGCGAAGGAATGGGTAATCTGTTGGCCATGATCGTGCAAGCTTGCGAGGGTCCATTGCACAAGAGGCTCGTCTTTTCACAGCAATTGCTTGCTATAGTGTTGGAGGTATGATGTCGTTTTTATTTATTTATTAGAGAATAACCTTTCATAATACAAATTATTCAAACTATATAACCGTTGACGATAGACATACTCTAGCTGTTAGGAGAAATGTTTATAAAAAAGGTATTCTTTATCAGAAAAAAATGCCCATTAATTTAAATGTCCAAAAATTACGACACGAGCTGGCATCCACAGCACTCCGAGTTGTTGCTCTGACCAATTGAGCTACCGTGTCCTATACGTCATTGTCGAATTTCCTCAACCCCAATGGGTAAAAAATTGGTAGTGCGTGTTGATGATTGACACTACCAATTTGATGCAATTTTTCATTTACATAAGTGTTGGTCATTTAACCTAAATAAAGTAAATAAATAAATGTAGCATGGATTGTTTGACCCACAAAAGTTATTATTGTATTTTTTTATATTTATAACATAATAAATGATTTATAGGTTAAAGCCATCCCTGGTCTTGGTACAACCATCGACACAATTCTAATCAACGGTACCCTGCATGAAGGAGATACGGCTGTACTTGCGGGTACGGATGGACCTATTGTCACACAAATACGATCTCTACTCATGCCTCAACCTATGAAGGAACTTCGTGTTAAGGTGAATATTGAATATCCTTGAGATTGTTTTTTTAAAGCCTGTTTCCCCCTCTTGGGGTATGGGGCAAAAACATTTCTGTTTCACTGATTCGTTTTTTTTGTATCGGGCAAGTAGTTTGTCAGACTTCTGTGCCCTGCCCGACCGAAACAATTTTGTTTCCCTGGGATTCGAACCCAGGACCCCTCGCGCTTAAAGCTAGGCAATACGTTTACCGTTTGGCTACAGAGGCAGTCCTAAGTGCATCGAACGTATAAAAGTACTTTTGCTAAAAACTCTTTTATTTGTAAATGTACTTGTACCTAGACCTAGACCTAGATATTGACTGCTATACAATACACCAGGATTTATTATATAAAGAGAGATTTCACAAAAAAACTGTTATTCTCAATTAATTTAGAATATGTTTCGTAATATTGAAAACATTGACTTTCAGAATGCCTACATTGAACACAAAGAAGTAACCGGCGCTCAAGGGGTGAAAATAGCAGCAAAGGAATTAGAAAAAGCTATCGCTGGATTGAACCTCCTCGTAGCTCAAAAGCCTGATGAGGTTGACGTTTTGAAGTAAGTTGGTTAGTCCGGCTCAAAGGACCATAATATAAACTTTATAAGTAAGATGCATGCTGATCATTAAATTTTAAAGATTCTCTAATTATGTCTCGCATTAAGCGACCGTCTTTTTTTTATTGATAAAGAATTATCTTTACAGAGAAGAAGTAGCGAAAGAGTTGAAATCAGCGCTATCCTCCATCAAGTTGTCTGAACGCGGTGTCTACGTGCAAGCTTCAACATTGGGTTCGCTTGAGGCGCTACTCGAGTTTCTTAGGACAAGCAAAATTCCGGTATTTATCTTTTTGTTATAAGAATAAAATATGTTGTAAATACAGTGGCTGGTTACGTTGATAAAAAGTACTGGATCGCAGATACATCTCCTGTTTTGTAGTATCTTTTTCTTTTTAACTCAATAATTAATATTATCCATATAAACATTTATTGTCCATACACATAATGATTATTTGCGTTAAATGCAAGAGGTCCTGGGTTCGAAAGGGTCACGGGGAACAATTGATTGTTTTGGTCGGGTAGTGCACAGAAATCTGATGAACTACTTGCCTGTAAATAAAACCGATCAGTAAAACTGACACAGAAATATGTTCGTCCCATGCCCCAATTACATTGACTACACTATAGAAATTTTATAAACAAAATATATAATATATACTAAGGATCTTTACAATGAATTTCAGTATTCCGCTATCAGGATAGGACCGGTTGTGAAACGTGACGTCATGAAGGCGTCCGCCATGTTGGAGCACGATTCGCAATTCGCAACCATTTTGGCTTTTGATGTAAAGGTATGTTGTATTAAACTGATAAACAGGCTTTCATATATTTACTATCCCAGCTGTAACAATGTATTGCATTGTATGAAAGTAGTTTAATTACCAGTGTATATGTTGTTTGCAATTTTTAACAGCTTGAAACGTGAAATTTATTTTTTACTATGATCCGGTGTTTTGAATACTTTACAGCCGTCATGGCCACAATTACGACAAAATGTTTTACCTAATTTCAGGTACTAAGTACATGTACTGACTCACCCATTCATAAGACACATTTGTCTAAAACCTTTATCTAAAAATATCTTTATATGTCTTTACTTGACTCGTAATGTAATTATGACGTAAAAGCTGGGTCTGGATGTAGGAATAAGTCTAGAAATAACATTAGATTTCTGACTAGCGAACTAGTAGCAGTTAATGACACATTATTTATGATTTTTCATTTTTATACTATAAATTACTTAAATTGTAGATCGAAAGAGATGCGCAAGAGTTAGCCGACCAGCTCGGTGTGAAGATATTCGCAGCGGATATCATTTACCACTTGTTCGACAAGTTCACCGCTTACCGAGAGGAGTTGAAGCAGAGGAAACGGGAAGAGTTTAAGCATATTGCAGTGTTCCCATGTAAACTTAAGGTATGGTCTTATCGGTGTACGGAAGAAGAGTTTTTATTTGACTTAGTGTTATAATTTGGATGGTTTAAAATTAAGCACTTCTTAACATTACATTCGTTTACTTAGGTTACTTTTTTAGTTCTACTCCAGAAAGGCAAGGTTAGGTTTTTACTTAGGATTTAGTCTTACACGCTGAACTAAATTAAAAATCTATTTAGATTGAAAAAAAATTACGAAACGAACGGCACTTGGAGGTATCCACAGCGTTCCGCGCATTAAACTTTGTAATTTCGTCTTCAATGACTCGAATGAAATGATTAACATGTGTTTTGTAACTTTGCAATAGTTATATAATTGTAACTGTATCCAGGTGTTACCGCAGTTCGTATTCAACTCACGTGACCCGATCGTAGCTGGAATAATGGTGGAGGCTGGCATCCTGAAAGAAGGAACTCCTATATGTGTGCCCAGCAAAGAGGTAATTATTAATGTATTAACAACAGTCACTTATTATATTACAAGTTATAAGATACTCAGGCAAATATTTGTAAGTCTTTTGGTTTCTGGATCGATTGAATGCAATGAAATCGGGCCGTCTCTGTTAAGTTTGAATTAAATTTTATAAAAGTATTTTTAAAATTATCGTACTTATAAAATGAATATCGTTTATTTACTAACCAATGATAAGTCCAATACTTCGTAAATAAAAGGCTATTTCATCTATAACACAAATTATTATGTATACATTAATACTTACAGTCTCGTTATGATATAAATCTTAAATTATTTTTTATACGTAAAACTCTTTTAAAACATATGAACTATAACTAGCTAAGTTTTTTAATTAATTATAAGGCAATTAGTTCGCTTCTGTCTGTCGTGTTTTAAAACTAGCTCTGCCACAGTGATGAATGAAATCATTCTCTCACCTGTTTACTGGTCTCCCTCTATTTCTATGGCCTTCTCGTGGATACCAAGTGAAGGCAAAAGTAATATACTTCTTTATTTTCAAAGCTAACTATTAATTTAAGAATTAACGTACCTATTTTGACAGTTCGTAGAATTAGGTATAGTGACATCTATCGAAGTGAACCACAAGCAAGTGGAGACGGCGCGAAAGGGACAAGAGGTGTGCATCAAGATCGAACCGATCCCCGGCGAGTCCCCGAAGATGTTCGGGCGGCATTTTGACGAAACCGATATGCTCATCAGCAAGGTATACTATGTATTACTTATTATATTCAATATAATTAAAAATAATATTAAATTAAATATTGAACCTCTGTGAAGTTTAAGAGGGAGTAAATTAAGTGTTTAGTTTACTTTTATAAATAAACCACTTATAGGGTTACACATACACATATTAACGGTTTGAAACTGGGATTGGATGAAAGACATACAAAATTATTCCTTCAAATTATACTACGCGAGAGGTGCGTGTATCAATAATTTGAAAAATTTGACGATGACACGGTTTCTCAATTGGTTAGAGCATCAACACGGAACCCTGTAAATGCCAGTTCAAGTCATGTCCGTTTCGTATTTTATTTTCAATCTATAATCTATTTTTAATTCCTCAATCTGTATTGATTTTAAGTAATATCATGTGTACAGAGGAAATATAATACAAAGCTTGTATAATTATTAAATTTAATGCAATCTTGATGATTGAGATAAAAACAGGCAAATTACAATTATACAACATTAAAATTAAGATCAATATTTAAAAATTAAAACTTAATCATATCAGTAAAATAAATCTCATCTAGTAATGTGAAGATTTCTTAGACCTTCAATTACCTAGATCCTGGATTTATATGAGACGGTGGGAAGCAACCGGTCGTACCCAGACTAGACTGACCTACGATGACTTTGTTAAATTTCCGACATCTGTTATGCGTTAGAAATATGCTCGTGCATGGTACATATTAATTTTTATTTATGGCGAACATTACTTGCGTCGTTTGTTTAACAGTTTCTAAGAAAAATATTTTGCAATGAAACAATCTATTTTGAACCGACACGCGGTTCGGTATTTCTATGTGTTTTATCTTCAGACTTCAATATGACATTTGTGGAGGATTTTTTTGAACCAACATAGAAGTCTTCTGTTCAAACTCAAATTATAAACCATTTATTTCACACAAACATTTATAATTTAAAAATCGTAAATAAATTGATCGGTAGCTCAATTGGAGAGCAACAGCACTGAACGCTGACGATGCCGGTTCAAGTCCTGCCCGAGTCGAAAATTTTTAAAATTTATTTTCGATTTTTAAATTATGTAGTGCCTTCATTTGCAATAGCATGTAAAAAATATTAAAGTTTACAAACATTTATTTCAACTACATATTAATAAACGATGCCAAATTTTAGCTTTATAATTGTTCTAGCTGCGACAGGAACTTCCTCCGCGTAGAATAGTTATTTTGGACATTAAAAATAACTATTCTACTATAAAATTATTTTGTTTTTGCAAACCTCTTCATCTTTATAGATTTAAGCTGTAACCACGAAGTCAGTCGTGTCCCATCGTTCTTGCAAGTTAATCTTAAAATATAGACAGATACTGTCGGAAATTATCAGTAATTTGGTGACAGTTGTCATCAACACGCACTTCTTCATCTTTATAAAATAAGCTATTACGCGTCTATATGGCTTTCCGTTGCGTACGCTACGAAAATGGTTCAAGATACCCTAAAAATATGTATAGAAGAATAATTCCTAATTAAATTATCTAAAAAAATGGCCGCGACAGTATACGTCTATCTTTTAAGATTAACTTGCAAAAACGGCAGGACGGAGGTTTGCGAAAACAAATTTGGATCTCCAAAATAACTACCCTTCCCGGACAAAGTCGCTGACACATCTAGTACTTCAATAAATTACGCTGCATTATATAATATTTTATACATTTGCGAGGTCTTACGTAATCCCACTACAACGTTTGAATACGATAACTATTTTAAACTTCAAACGATAAAAATAAAACAGTATATTGTTTAAATAAAATTAATATCGATAACATGAGCTCGTCATCAAAGCTCGATGAAAGAAATTATCGTAGGTGCGTTCGTGTGACTCATCTCTATAATATTATTTGTTGTTTCGTATAAATTATTGTGATCATTATTGTTTCTGCCGGTTGGTCGCTTTGATGTTAGGAGATTAGATTAGGAGGGAGTGATTGAAATAATCGTCCTCTTTATTTTTGTTAAGGCTTACGAAAATTAATTTAAAAACTCAGACGAATGGCCTCTGGTGTCAAGTGACTTTAGGGGTCGAATGGAATTTTTGATTCGCATGTATCTTTTCGTCTATAGTTTGCACGAGCTATACACATTTTATAAAATTATTTAGAGAAAAAAAATTATAGGCGAAAATTTTTTTTATGTTAACAAAATTAGCATATATTTTATGTTGTTTCATGGCCATAGTTTAATTAGACGTTAGAAGAAAGTCTTTGTCTACATATATGACAAGAAAAAAATACCTCTGCATTTTCCAAAATAGTTCTATTAATTTCCAATATTCTGTTTCTTCGGGGACTCTTAAGAGGCTTAACACAATGCTAGGCAACATCTTGTTCAGCTACTGAGGCGGTCATTGTCCTGGCAGTCGGTAGATTGTTTCGGTCGAGAAAGGCACGGAAGTCTGACTAACTAATTGCCAAATTTAAGTGAAACGGACACAGAAATATGATCGCCCCATGCGTCGTCTAGGAGATTTCGCTTCTATCAATTTTCCAACCCAGTCTGCGAAAATCAATGAAAATCAGTGAAGTTTGCGACTGCCGCTGCAAATAGAGATGGCCTTCACGCGTTCAAAGTCAAGGCGAAAACGTAAAATAAATTAGAACATTCAGAATTAACATTTGCCAACTGGTTTTAAGCTAATTTGAGAGTGGATTTTTTTTTACCACACATTTTCTCAAATCATATGTAATTGGATTATTGCTTTTTAAAATTATTTGTTATGTACTAGTTGTGCCAGCGACTTTGTCCGCCTAGAGTAGTCAGTCATTTTGGACGTCAAAATGTGTTTTTGCAAACAACCTCGTCGGCGTTATCAATAATACCATTAGCATACAAGCAGCCAACGTCTGCGTTTTCATTTTAATATTGTCTATGGTGTTTTCCGAAACAGATAATATATGTGAGCATAGACAAACTTTATTTGTCCGCATTGCTAAATGTATTCTACACGTGCCGGCTCTCTACAGGCGGACGATTAGGTTTTGTAGCACCTACGGGCGCACAATTTACATGTCCCTTCATTGTAGTGCTAGCAAATATTAGCGAACAGGAATAGAACGAACGCAAACGGAAACAGTGCGTCGTTATTGTATACTCTATGTTGCGTCTATTTGATTTGCGTGTTTGATGTGCGCAAAACAAACATTTCGTACCGTATCGTAAAAATGTACTTTCCCAAAAAATTATATATGTATTTCGGTATACTACATCTATGTGAAAAAGGTTTTTATTTAGTAATGTCAGTAATTTTAACTAGTATATAGTATAATTTAAATAAAACACTTTTAAACGGTTTAGAAACGCGAAATGTATTGGTCAACTTATTTACAATTTATTTGAACTATGGCCCAACGTTTCGGTCGATATGCAACGGCCATGGTCATGGGGGGACTAAAGGGGGTATCCTTAATAACAAAGCAAGTGTTTGAAACCGTTAAAATTGCTTTATTTAAAATACTGTTTATGGACTTTTAAAATCACCAAAACATACCTTTTTTATTATTATAATGATAATATTATCGTATAATAGAGACAAACTTTCATCTTATATGCTGTCCTTTCCTTTCAAATTATATACACGCACAGCGATAAACTAGATAAAGGCGATGTTGAATATTGTAAATAAAACAATTTCCTTACATTCATAGATGTTAAACATACCTGGTTCAACCGGGAGTCGAATCTAAATAAGTTTATAAGGTAATTTTCAAACTTAACTGTGACCGCGGGGTAACACTGAAGTAATGTATATGATGTAACGAAATTGACGTCACTATGCACAAATTCCTGGAAGTCCTATTTAGTTGTAATGATATTTCGCTATCAAAGGATTCTGATCGACAGTCCCTCTTAAAATAGACATGTTTCGACATTTAGTTCAATTTAAAGAGACATATAATATTAAAATAGGTTTAGACATATATAAGTCATATATCATGTGAATTGTGAATGAATGCCTGTTTCCCCTTCATGGGGCATGGGGCGAACACATTTCTGTGTCCGTTTCACTGATCCGTTCTTTTTAACGGGCAAGTAGTTGATCAGACTTCTGTGCCCTGCCCGACCGAAACAATTTTATTTTTCCCTGGGATTCGAACCCAGGACCTCTCGCGCTTAACGCAATGCATGGTTTAACCATTTGGCTACAGAAGTGGTCAATATAATAACTCTTTATTTGTCTATTCGTAAAGAAGATCGATTGGCGGTATGCGCTTTTCGGAAGTTTATCCAAGAAGACAAAATAAATGGTTTATACAGTGCATAAAAAATAAAATAATAATAATTAATAAATAAATTATTCTCCATTTCAAATTATTAGTTGACGTATTTAATATCTTACGATCTAGTAAATTAACGCGTTTTGAACCGTTAAAATGTTTTACTGTGTACTACTTGCATCAAAATACTATTCTCCCCCCCCCCCCCCCGAAAAAGGGGGCCCCCGGCAAAAAAACCGTCCTGATCCCGAGGAAACAACAGATTGTTACGATCGGACGGGGCACAGAAGTTCGATCAAGTACTTCCCTGTAAATAGAAACTGACGTGAAATGGACACATAAATGTGACTGCCCCATGCCCCAAAGTTTCACTTATTATGACTGTTTATTTTTGTACCATGAGTTCTTAAATAAGAATTAACTACTTCTTACGTAGTGCTTTGAAGATATAGGTACATATTTGCCAAACATGAATGCGAAGAGTATAACGGCACGGTACTTCGTCGGTCTGAATGACCCGCGGCTTCATTGATCGAGGGATCCGCGGGTCACTGGGTCGAGGGGACCGGCTGCACGGATGTCTTGTCGCTAACCCTGCAACTGCCTTGCGGCGAACGTACTTTATTACCTCTTCGTCTCATACTTCTACAAATATTGAAATTTTGCAGGAAACAATATTGCTACGATAGTTGGTCTTTAATTTGATAATCTCAATACATAGATAAAGATATGGTACTTTTGTGCTTCACAGAAATATTTGTTCGTTAAATTCTTTACGGATGTAAAACACTAGCTGTGCTTGCGAGTTCATCCGCGTGGTAATTATTTATTTTTGCAAACGAAATTACAAAATATATCTGTTACCTACGACTTCCCATCGCGTCGTTCTTGCGAGTTAATCTCAAAATATAGACATAATATTGATATTTTTAATCATTAAAGTACTATGATTTTTTAAATTCCAACCAATTGTTTTTGCGATTTGCGGGTTCAAACAAAACTAACAAACTTTAACATTTCTATATTTGTACAGATAAACTTTTATGTGGCAATGCATTAAAAAAACAAGAAGCGTCTATTTTCTAAAATCCAGCTAAATTGGTATGCTATAAGCTACTGTAGCTACAACTTGTAACAAACATCCTTATTTATTTTGAATGGCAAGAGAGAGAACCGCGTCACTAACAGTCATAAACCGCTCCCATCTTAATTCATTCAACGATCTCGTTCCACGCCCTAAAAGCCCATGTTAAAGGTAAACTAACGATGGCAACTTATTAGGTCATAGTCTACGTCACTGCTCCATACAGGTCGATATGGTGTCTTCCGGGGGATTATAACCTCTATGTTGATGAGTTACAGTTTCTTTTAGCAAACGTGCAAAATTATGCACACAACTACAATGGCCGGGTCACATCTCATTCTAGAAACTCATTGATATAATTCGTATTGCGGTTTCATTGATGGCGTTACATGATCTCGTGTTGCTAAAAGTTGATGTTTACAATTGCTTACTGTCACTTATGCACAATTTAGATTTTATAACTATTTCTAGTTTTTGGCCTACGCGAGTAGTAACACATTTAAATGAAACACTTTAACGGTTTAAAACGTGATATATATTAGTTAAACTTATTTGTACATTATTTTAACTACGGCCCGACGCTTGCCGGATGCTTTGCAGCAGCCGTGGTCTCCTGCCAAATAGTTTAACTAATATATCGCATTTTAAACCGTTAGTGTTCTATTTAAACACTAAGGTACAGCTTAAATTAAATTTATATTAAAAAATGTGTTATATAGGCGAAACTTGAACTAAGTAACCTACCACGATTGAGCCACTAGTATTTTTTATAATTTTTAACTGTTTAAAATGGCAGAATTGTTAAAATTTAAGAATTGTTTAAGACTGTCCTTAAACAATTATTTCTCAATATACTAAGTTATGTGCCAACCCGTTTTTGGCCATTACGGAAATGAAGAAATTAATCATTAATCGAACTTTCATTCTCTTCGAAGTATATTGATTGTAAAAAATAACGCCTAATAAGCACTTCTTTAGTAAACCTTCATATGAAGATACTTAAACATTAAGTGAAAATACACTATTGTTGCGTCAAACTCTATAGTCTAAGTAGGCTTCATTTATTTTATTAATGTAAATATAACTTTGCCTCAATTTAATTATATATAATTCTCACATTTTTCTTATAATATATAATACAAAACCTGGAGCTTCAATGACGGCAGAAGCTACCTTGCCGCCGTTAGAGGGTGGGGTCCACCGAGGGTCGTGACCCAATTTCTTGCTTGCATAGCCTGATCTATTTTCCCTATGACGTCATTCCATTCAGCCCCAGAAGTTGAATCGATGCGCCCAAAAGTGGGTCGACCTGAATGGAGCCCATGTACATTCATCGTTTCCATTTTTAGAAGAGCTTTTGTTAGATGCCAATACGGGACATAATAAAGCTTTTTTTTTAATTATGTATTACACTATATAAATTTAAAATCAATATATGTAGAAATAATTGTTTCCAGCTTAATTTAAAAAATATAGATAATGTCTCTTGGTGACTGAAACGTTGAATATATCGAAGTTTTATCGCTGAGTTATTAAAGAGTGTTTAAGTTATGTTTTCCTCTATAAGTAGTAAATATTTAATACCTATACCACTTTAAAATATTCTAGTTTTTTTACTACGACCTAACTTTTCAGCCAGCTTTTTTAACCTTTGTTAACACATTTGTGGTTTGGGGCATGGGCCAGATATATCTCTGAATCAACCTTTTAATAACACAATGACTTGTACGTAACTTACAATTTGAATAAAGAACTAAATCTTAAGCGTTAGCATTACTAAAAATCGACGTTGTGCAACAAAAGTGGTGTCCTTCCACATATGGCTATTTTATTGTTTTTTGTGTTATTGTATGTGTAAGAGATTTTATTTGATTTAAAAAAAAGCCATATAACAAAAGGAATGAAAATATAGTTCAATTTTGAACTTTGTGACATCAGATCAGTCATTACATAAGCCACAAGCTCAGGCTTGTGGCTTATGTAATGCTTAGCGCTGATTTTCAGTCTGTCCTTTATCAGCTAACGAGAAGTACAGCTAAATTAAAAACATTGTGGAATTGATGCGTTCGTTGTATATGAAATCAATCAGAGAATAACGTTTTGATTTATAGCCATAGCTAAATTAACTAATCACTTTTGCGATTTAAAATATTTATGTTTTATAAATTTTTCCTTTGAAATTATTCATGTTTCCTGAGACACGGACTCAGTGCTTCTAAATAGAGCCTTCGAGGCGGTATGCGTACATTTGTTTGCGTCTTTAAAATGTCTTAATAATCCACTGTCCTTGTTTCAGATATCTAGGGCCAGTATCGACGCGTGCAAAGACTATTTCCGGGATGACCTCATAAAAACTGACTGGCAGCTAATGGTCGAGTTGAAGAAGCTCTTCCAGATTCTATAATCCTTTCCCGGAACGAATAGTGTTGCCCGCGATGTAGGGCGTCATCTTTCTAGCTCTCATCCAACAAGCAATTTTATTGGTGCGAGTCGTTTTTGTAAATTACAGTAGGCTATCTGTCTCGACCGTAGTGGGGACAGTAGGTAATTGTAAGTTTTTTGCTAATACATAAATTAGCTCTATTGAAATTAATAGTATATAAAAATGTCCTGCAGGTCATGTTTCATATCTTTCGAGAATCATTGTTATTTTGTTTTGTGGTTACATTTCACAGTGTATCAGTATTTTTTATTTTTTTCACTCGCATTTTTACTGTTCAACCAAGACAAGCGTGGGCCTTACTTGATGGAATGTATAATTTAAAAATCGAAAAAAACTTTCGACTCGGGCAGGATTTGAACCGGCATCGGTAGCGTTCCGTGCTGTTGCTAGATGGAATGTGTTACTTATATACTCGCTGTCGACCTTTTTAGCCTTTAGACATTCGGACGGCCACGGACCGAAATCGACTCATTTATCCAGATAGGACCCACGACTCGATAAATCTTGGAATCTGTCCCTAACATTGGCGATGGTGGAATCTCAGAATACCAGTTTTGTATAACTCTAACTGCCAAAAGCGAGACACCTTTGTAGACAATATAGATCGACATTGTAAATACGTCACTAGTATTTATTTAAAACGAAATGTATGTTCAATCTTTTGTATTTTTCGTCTGCATTCATTGTATGAAATGATGTGTATATAATTTGTTAATGTGTATATTCTTTGTGACAATTTCACCACTGTCAACAGCATATTGTTCGCATGGGATTCGAACCTCATATAATACTTGATCGAGATTTTGGTTCTAAGAAATCTCGGGTCGTGATAATCTTCTTTTATGATTGTTTTTTTTTATGAAATGGTTATATGAAATTTGGTGACGCGAGTGGTAATTTTTTTTATATAACAAAACACTTTTAACGCCTTCAATATTTAATTTATTTCTCACTTCGACCCGACGTTTCGGATGCTTATAATATCGATTTACTTTGAATTATCTAATACCTTTTTGTTAGTGCAATATTCGATCTCGCCAGACACGTCTACAATTGTATAAGTAGGTACATTATCTCTCGTATAAATAATTTCTTGTAAATATAATGAACTGTGAGAGGTCGTTTATTGTACGGTTTTATCTATGCAGAGTCCGTCAAAAATACAAAGGATCGTTCCATATTGTGTAGTTGGTATCTACTATTCGCCCTTTTTGAATGCTTTGTATTATATAGATGGAATCGGACATATTCTTATATTGAAGAAATTTTATTAAATTATGAAATATAATGCTGCCTTTTATTTAAGAAACGATAAAATAAGAAAGAAACACTAATCGTAAATATACCTATTTTAATTCAAATCATTTAATACAGACATAACCACATACATAAATTGATAGAAAGATATAAGGAAATATACAAATGGGGTAGAATTAACAGACACACATACTAACTTGTGGAAGGACGACATTTAGCTGTCGCTGGAAGCAGCTTGTTGCAGCATCGATTAGTGAGCCCCTTAACCTCTTTAGTCTTATAATGCCTTACGCATTTAATTGTGAATAATGTGCACAGAATTAGGACGTTGAATTTTAAGAGCATTTATCCATGGGTTGAAGAAATTCGACGACGACGTAGGACACGGTAGCTCAATTGGTTAGACCAGAAGGAGGGAACTCTGGATCGTCAATTCAACGAGAGTGGAGCTCCATTTTGACTGTGTTGACTCTCTTGCAATTCCCAAATGCACCATCCCAATTAATGGTTCGTGCTCTATAGCAGCACAGAAGAGTATTTAGAATATAAGCCACAACCATTAGCCACTTAGAGAAGTCAACCCAGATAACGCAATGGTTATGCACTCGGTATGCGTTATTTCGTAATTGACATAACTGCAATCTCAATTGGATGCTATCCTTGACTATCCTCTGAATGAAATATGGATTTAATGTATATGGCCGTAGCCCACATTAACTGACCTATGCAACTATTGGCCGATCGTGCTGTGTAGGTTTCGATGTAGGAGGCAGCCTTTTAGGCAGATTTTGATAATGGCGTAGGCGCAAAACCTGTTCCAAGTGGTTTTGTAGTAGTTTAAAACTGTTTAAATACAACACTTAACGGTATAAAACGCCTAATGTATTAGTTATCTTATTTGCAATTTATTTTAACTACAGCTCGACGTTGGGCCTCAAAACTTACGAATTTTAAACAGCTTCATATTTAAATACTGTCTATAGTTTACGCGAGTAGTACACATTTCAATAAAACACTTTAACGGTTTAAAACGCGATATATTAGTTAAACTTATTTGCAAATGATTTTTAACTAATATATCGCGTTTGAAACCGTTAAAGTGTTTTATTTAAAAGCTTCAAATTTTCTTACGATTCTAGACTTTGCACTAAAAACAGTTGAAACACATAAATGGGGTCTTAAATGCAGAATGTCCAAAGTCAAAATTGGTCGAATGAACTTGTATCTTGCGTCGATATGGATGTGGTGGTAGTACATTCCATCAAGTGTCATAGAAAAACAACATACGTACAGTCATCAATACATATAAATCGTTATCTTGTCCGGAATAATTGCCAAAATCTACCATTTTATACCGAGGTACCGATTCAATTTCAAATATTGCACAAGCATAACCATAAGTATACTGCGAAATCTACGTTTGAAAGAGCGTTGTCGAGACTCGACGTCCATAAAGTTGTTACTCAATTAAAACACTAATAAACGTGTAACTCAGAAAAAGCTATACGGCCTCGGAACCTATTAAGGCTTTGTTTACCCTCAGTAATGGTTTCCACAAGGCCATGACTCACACCTCAACGTTAGAAGACCAATGCCGTCTTCGTTTTGTCGTTCATTGGGAGGGGCATAGTCCGTAGGCAAGATTTCCTCTTCACTTATTTTTAGCAGCATTTTTTTATAAACGAATCGACGATCAATACATGTGGATAATGCACTTTTAGTGGCCGTTGATAGAGAGCATCCCGGAAATTATATTAAACTTTACGCTGCACATATCACGGTTGCCATGGTTACCTGAACTGCGTGGGCGAGGGGGTGTTTTCAGGGTCTAGGTCACGCCCCGGAACGCACAGCGCAAGCGCGGACCCATAAAACCTCCCGGAACAGATCTAGCTCAAAAGTTGTCGGTGTCTTCCTAGTGAAAGTACGTTTTCACTTCAGGGGTTGAAGATGCTATTTCATTGCATAAGTGGCTGATAAAATTCTCGTATATTTTTAATAGTGGTAAAATTCAGTCATTCTTCAAATTCTCGTATATTTTTAATTGTAATATCAGTTTTTTGTGTTACAATAACAAACCGAAGTTATCGTAAAAAATAAAGGTAAGTCCTCTTTGTTTTAAATGATACTGTCTTATTTTTAAATTTATTTAAATCAATCCTTCGGTCGTAATCGATCGTAATCGAAACCGACGGACATTGAAATTAAATTACAGACAAAGAAAAATAATAATTTGAATTCCGAGTAAACCCAAGATTCGGTTCGCAAGACACAATTATAAATCTTCGACATTTTAATTTAACACAATATTTCACGATATCTTAATAAAGATCTCGTTTAAGGATTTCACCGATGCTAATCTTAGTTTATTAAATTCATAGCTTTTGCTAACAGATAAAAAATACACGATATTTTATAAAGCGTCAACGTTATTTATAAAGATAAAATCTTTACTCAAATTATATACTCCGAGGCGCTTAAAATTTAAAAACATTTTTTTTACAATAAAATAATAAACAAAAAATGTGTATTATTTTAATAATTAGGAAACCAAATTTCTTGGCTCAGCTTATTTTCTGGTAAATCCGTGGCTTTTAATTGTGGATTTCCGTATTTTGAAACTCTAAATCTTCTCGTATACGCGTAATTCATCTTTCATTGAGAGAACCCCATGCTTTGATGCCCAGGTAGAGCTAGATAGCAAATCTGTTAAGATTTTGTTTTAGAAAATAACATTTTATTGATATTATAACACTAACTTATTGCAAATGCAACGAAAATGACTTCCTATTCCTTTCAACGTCTCCAAGTTTAATTAGAGCCAATTCTACTAATTTATAACTAATTAGCGTTTAATATTTACTTGAGTTCGAGAAGTATATATGTGCTCGGGATTCGAACCCGTTGATATTACTATATCAGTTTAAATATAACATAGATTCAGCTGAACTAGACTACAAAAATATAACGTATATTTGTAATGAAAAGAAATTTATATAACTAGTTAGTCCGTTTAAAAATATAACCGCTGCTGCATCGTATCCGAACCACGAGCCGTAGAATGAATTATACAAAATTTTCGTTTAAAATTTTATATCGATTCAAGATTTAAATGAAACAGTTTTAACGGTTACTTAACTTATTTACTTGCAGCAACCGTGGTCATGAGGTGTAAATAAGCTAACAATCATTTTCACGTTTTATACCGTTAAAAGTGGTTTATTTAAATGTGTGCTACTAGCGTAAAATACAAACAATACGTAACGTTTTAAAAGTTTAATATTCGCTACATAATGAATTAGGTAAAGTTATTCACATAAATATTTCATCGTTTGTGAGTGTATAAATTTATTAGCACAATAACGTCTTATACATCACGCATTACCTAACAAGTCTAGTCAGCTAGACAAGGTCGTTTCAGTACCGCGGCCGTTTCAGTTTTTCCACGTTCCATTCATGCGTTCGTTTGAATGGCGTACTGAAACAGTCTGCGCGCGCGCACCGCGAGTGACAATCTGCCATTCATCTCTCATTACTCGACAGCAGGCCAGAACCTTCGGTGCGTCATCTATTTTTGTCTTCTAGCTATTGCCCGCGACTTTGTTTCGCCTGTGACCTTAGGGTAATGTCAAGTTCTTCAAATGTTGTCTAATCATTAATGTAAAAATTCAGCAGAATAGTTTCTGCTGATGTCATAGATTTTA